CAGAGGAATGAATAGGATGAAGTGTGATGGGTCTTGAAATGTTTTTACGTGACAGAAGCTGGCTGTAATTCTACTTACTTTTTAATAAGGACTGTTCTGATTTTTGGTGCTTGACTTTGGAAACTGTCAAGCAAACAAAAAGCTGACTGTCTTATGTTCATGTCTATTATATATAGATATGTTGGAAAACTACATAACATCTTCTCTTTTCCATTAAAAAAATACCAAAATTTTATAATCCCTGTGTAATATCTTCAATTTTCTATATAAGAAAAAAATTTTAAAGAAACTAGATTATTTTTCTCTTTTTTTTTTTTCTTGGAAGCAAGTAATAGTTCTGGACAGACAGTTTGTACTTCGGGTAGAAAGCCTCATTTTACTGTTGTCATGTATCTAGGATTTTGTGATTTAATTTGTGAGTTTGAAGGCTTGGGGTGGAGAGGAGAAGCAGAAAGCCAAAGTAGGAGCAGGAGTGAAGGTTACATGTTTTGACCTTTGTGCATTCTTATCGAGATATGGCTGAATTAATTGAATTTGCTGGTCAGCAAATTATCACATGCCTCACATAGTCTTTGAATACCAGTTGAGGTAAGGAGATGGGCAATAGCTACAGAGAAACTTTCAGCAGGTTTGTGATTACCTGGAATTTCAACAGTGCTGATGGATACTTTCTTCGTTTTCAGAGGATTCCATAGTTCTCACATGAATTAAGTACTAGCTGACTGTTCTATTGGCGTAGGTATTGTTTGACTTGGTATTAGTGTTGTTTTTGGCATAAATATAAGTGAGTCCCATGGACAGTTCAGACTGGGTTAGTTCACATGCAGGCTGGGCCATTGAAAGATCAATCAGCTGTAATACTTAATGTTTGAAAGATACAGTGTAAAACACAGCATCTGGAGCTTCAAATACATACAGAATAATGTTTTACCTGCAAATTATTTTTTTCTGAGGTATTCTAATATGTTGTCTGGTAGAAAAACTGTTGATGACAGTTGTCTCATGTTTTAAGTAATATGGGTGGAAGAAGCAGAGAAAAATGATATACTTAAGTGACACTTCCAGTATTTTTAGAAAAAAAATCAGTGATGTACACTTCACGAAACTGTACATTTTATTCCCTGTGGAAAGTTAGTCTGCCCACTCTGACCAGTAGCTGATAGGTCACTTCTTGGCTATTTGCCAATATGTATTCACAACATGTAGCTGTGTTATAATAATTTTACAAGTATACTACATTTATTATCCGTTATTAAAACTTAACCACAAATTACAAAATAACTGAGCAAATGGTTTGGTTTGTCCAGAAAGTAATTAAAATGCATCCTTTGTATGCAGATAGAAAAAGGAAATGTGCAGAAGAGTTCTTAAGCACTCCGTAGCCTGATGTCCTCTGAAAGATTAGGTGAAAAGTCATAGACTGTGCATTCAAAACCTGAGACATGCTGCATTAATGTTTTGTCCCGCTTGCACTTCACCACTGAAAGCTCTTAACTCAGATGCACGCAGGTTACATGTGCGTGTGAAAGCTTGGAGAATGGGGAGACTGAAACTGAGATGAATCTTGCCAGACTTCAGTCACCTTAAACGGGCCTAAGTTTCAGACAAGTGTCTAGGCTCCTTTGATGATTAATGACTTGAAACAGGTACTTCCAGAGTGCAGTCTCAGCCAAAGGGTGGTTGGCTAAGAGAGGTCGATAAATTACCTATAGAGAGAACAATTAGCTGCGAGCTGAAGTTAGGTGAAATGAAAGCCTCTCTGTCATTGGCTCTTCTACCTGGGAACACCTACGACAGATTGCGGTCCCTATCTTATTCCCATTGTCTGCACACAATGTTTGGACAATGCATATGTGAGTTGTATGCATCATGCTAATGACAGAAGTCGTAAGTCATATGTGCACTTTCAGAGTACAAGAATTTCTGAAAAAATTACGTGTACCACCCCAGCGATGACTAACTTCTTCCACCATGGACCTGCCAGGGCCCAAGAACGTAGTTGCAAGTCGTATTATCAAGTAATATTGTTCTTCTGCAGATCGTTCTGAGTCTGTGTTCTGCAATCTCAAGGCAGGATAAACCTTGATACTGTTCTCAAAGGAGAAAGTAGGCAACAACAATTCAGAGTGGGCTCAGATTTCTGAAATATTTTGTTTGCAAGAGATGAAAGTACATACTTATTGGAATTTATAAAAGACATATAATGTTTTTAGAAGTCTATCCAATAGGGTTGTTTTACTGTGGGAAAGGAATTGTGCTATTTTAGAGCTTATTTTTATAATAACATCGCCTTATAGTAATTAGTATAGTGCAAATGCAGCTGGTTTACTGTGTCAAAGGCTGTGTATTTCTGCAAGATAGTATTCCACTCATGACCACATTCCATATGCAGTCTATTCTACGTGCTAGCAATAAACTGTGGCTCAGACTATGCATTACTGATGGTGCAAATAAAGATATTAAATAAAAAATACATTAGAAATGCAGAATGTTATAGGATAGCTTGTAAAATGAATAAGAATTTAGAAGTAAAATGTGGCTGCAGAACTGTTTGCCATGTCACCAGCCTAATTCTTTGTGTTTGTACGTAGAGTTGCTAACAAGATAATTGTAAACCAGGCCAGTCCTTTTAAAATTAATTAAAACTGTATGAATGGTCATCGGAATAAAATAAATTTGCACCAGTCACACTCAGAATGATTGTTCTTAGATGCTGAAGGATATGCAGTGATGGAGAAGTATGCATTATTCAGTGCTTTGTTTAATATGTTTGCTTTTTTCCTCACAGTACAGTGCTGTGGATACAAACCCTTTATCTGTGTACATTATGCAGCCCATCTGGAACATAATTATTAAGGTAAGTGTTTAATAGAAATATCACATGATAATGTAAGAATTTGTTTTAAATACAGCATGTATTTTAATTTAAAAATATGTATTGATTAATAAAGCTGAAATTAAGACATCTGTATAAAAGAAAACAAAGTTTACAGAATATATAGCTATATTTAAGATAAGTATGTTTGGATTCTGAGGTGGGGTTGTTTTAGATAAACAAGGTGTTGGGGTTTTTTTGATCGGTATACAAAGGGCATCATTTCTTTTTTACATCTTCCATGATTACATCTTTCATTAAACAGCTTTGCAGACACTGAAGGGTTTACGTAGTACAAATTATTTTTGTGCAGCATATGCTGCCTAACAACAGCATGACTTTATCTCTGTGCTGTGCACACAATTTTATGCAAGTGCTGTCTCATTTTCTGCCAAGGGTGCTTGCTCGAGAGAGCTAGGCATTTCTCTAAGAAGCCGAAAATGAGAGTGGTTACCATGATCACCACAGCGATTGGAAGATGGAATCTCTCGAATGCATTATGATCTGCAGTTTTTAAAAATAAAACTGCTCACAATTAGTTTTGCTGTTGTTGGCAGAAAAAACACTGTATCTCAAATAAATATGAACTTTAGTAATCTCCAAGGAAGCAATGATTTCTGCATCTGCCTCTTTAGAGGAAATATTTAGATTGGAGCAGACATGAAAACAAACCTTTATACAAACAAAAAAGGATGTATGTGGTCAGAGTGCTGTTGAGTCTGCCATATTTGGGTTCTATAATTCAGGTATTTCCTATGCTTGATATAGCAGAAAAATCATAATCTCTCATTCATAACCTCAACGTTATTTCATGAGAGTGTTCATATGACCTAACTTAAGAATTAAAAAGCTACCTGAACATGATATGAGAGGAAAGCAATTAGAAAATGTGAAACTGAATTCAATAGTTCAGGTCAGAGACTCTGTTTTCATTTCCATCATAATATCGAGGAGAACAATGAGGCAGAAAAGCCCCCCCCGGTGCTGTGGAGTCCAGCACGGGAGATGAGCAGAGGTTTTACTGTGCTCTTGCACACTGATTTAGGAGATCCATGGGAATTCATCTGCTATCAAATTGAAGGAGACTATCAGCGTAAAAATTTGTTTGGAGAGAGGTTCTGCTAATGGTTGCAGAGTTTTCCCAGAAGGAAAGCAGCATTCTTGACTGTCCCCATGTAGCATAGGGTGATAAATCCTATAAAAACTGTGACCTCTTTGGATTTTTTAAACCTCCTCAAATTTTAGGCAAGCGTGATTTTGTTCACTTCGTGCTGGAGGACAACCCAAACTAGAGCAGAGGACTGAAAACCTATTTCAAAAGCTGGAAGATTTGAGTACAGAATCAAAGACCGGAGTGGGTGCTCTCTGTACATTGGCATTTGTTTTGGTCTGAACCCTGAAGATACAGCAATGAATGTTCTGCTTTGCCTTCGGTGCAAGAGAGTTACAGGATAATTCTCAGTGAGGTATCACAATGACTTAAAGGGAAATTATATTGCTCGCAGCTTTTTTAGAAGTGGTCATTGTAATGTTAAAATATACTGCCAGGTGAAATCAGAGTCCTGCAGAGGAGCTGGGAATGCTCTCCTGTAATGGAGATTCCAGCAGAGTCATCTTGGTTGCTCCTTGAGATATAAATGAGAACTGGGGGAGCACCAAACTTATTGGCCAAAATTTAACTGTTTGTAAAATGCTAGTAGGAACAAAAGTTGTTAGAATGGCTTTGTTCCTGGCTAGATGCTGAAACCAGGTGTGGCAGTAACTGTTGTCTCAAACTCAGTCCAAGAAAATTCTGCTCATCTGTTCACCAAAAAATACTTTTTTTGTCTTGAAGTGTGAGTAAAACAGTGGTAATCGTAGTAAGTGTGATCAAGTCTTACTTTTAGAAGGAGAAGCTTTGAATGCATTTACTTGTCGTTGATTTTTTTTTGTAGCTTGTACTGGTTGCAGGCATTGTAACTGGGCTGTGAGCGTGCTCTACAATGTAATACTGTGGTGCCGGCCTTAGCGCGGATGCCCGCTCGGCATAGCGACTGCAGCCCAGAACTCCTGGGCTCAGGCGATCCGGCAGGCTCAGCCTCCCGAGTAGCTGGGAATACTGAATTTACATTTTACTCTATATAATGTTATTTCTGTTTAAATAGAACATTGCATTGCAATAGTGAGATAGTAAAGCTGGGATAATTTTTTTAAGAAGAGAAAACATCGCATCTGATCTGTTAATTCAAAACTGGGCAGTACAAGGGTACTTCTTGATGGCTTGGAGTAGTTTCTCTCAGTTTCAGACATCCTAATACAGGACAGCCTTTCATATGTCAATGAAGTCCTAACTGCAACACAAGTTAACACAGAATTGATTGGAAGATGTCTTTCCTATGTTATGAGAAATTAAGAAGAGCCTGACATTAGAGAAGATGTGTGAATTTATCAGCTGGGGTGCTGACATACATAAGAACTGAAGACGTCATCATAACCCAGCTCATTTACCTGTGGTGGGGATGCTAGGAAGGCAAAGAATTTGTGTGTTTAAGTTAGAAATTCACCTGGAAATCCTAAGCATTACCTTTGTCTCTTTCCTCTTCCAAGGACAGCTTTCTTATATACTGTACCATGTGCCTGTGTCAGTTGGAGTGTGATTTTTGGATGTGTGTGCTTCAGAAATGTGTTGAACCTGGTGCTAAAGCAGAAAGCGAAGGGTAATGTTTCATGCCTGGATTCTGTAATAGGCTTGAGGTACTCTGAGATAGTCCTGTCCGTGGCAGCCTTTCCACGTTGTATGACACTAGAGTAACACCTGTATGAAACTACAGAGTAACAATTAACTTTCTTTAAGTGTTACTTAAAACTATTCTGATTATGCAACCATAGGTATTTCATCTTTGGTTATTTCAATGCTCCATCATTTTACCTTTAGTTAAGATTTATACTTTGTCATAAAGCACAATCGTGCTCTCTGACAGCTAAGGGATAGTGTTACTTAGCTACTATGCAAATTGAATGTTCCTCATCTGTTTGTATTCATGAGAAATCACATTTGTGCAGGACAATGAGAGGGAAAGGAGGAAATCCCACAGGTGTGTGCCAGCTTCACTGAAGTCAATTAACTCCCCCTCTGTTGCCTTTATGAACTTTGATTTTATCACTAGAACTAGGCATGAGGAGAATTTTTGTGGTCTCAAGTGACTTAGTTAAAGCATATTTCAAGTTTGAACAGAGCTTTGTATAAATATATGTACTTTACCAGTTATTATCCAGACAGACGGTTGATATATTAAGACCTTTGCTGTTTGTATTAAGGCTTTTAGCATGAATGGCTGTAGTCCCATTAAAACAGAAATCAGTTAGTATTTTGTGGAACTAAAAGTTTTTTAAAAGGTTCAAGCGCACAGTGGTTTTGCTAGAGAGCAGACCTGATTGCCCCCAGTGGTACCTCCAGTTGTATTAATCGTGTAGCTCATCGATATATTAGGCTTCTACTGTCTGTTAATTAAATAATAAAGAGTGCAACATATCCTTCTACAGGATACTAGTAAATTCAAGCTGTATTTTTCCAGCATGTGTAGGAAGTTAATCTTAATACCCTGTAATTTTTGAATTGCGAAATAGGGTGATGGTAGTGCAATGCCATCCAAAAGTATAAGGTGCATTAAATATAACAAAAGGGATTTTGCAACTGGAATACTTTCCAACTACCTGGACAGATTAGATTCGGTGAGGATCAGAAGAATGTGCTTAGAGATTTAACTGCAGGAGAGGCTGTTTTGCTAAGGACAGATCTCCTGTAACTGTTTTTCATGGTGTGTTTACTAGCCAAAGGGATTGCAAGTACAGCAACGTGCTTTGATGGTTTCCTCCTTAAAATATATTAAGTTAGCAAAATTGGGTTAAAATAATGTCTTCATGTTTCCACTGTGTAAGCATAAATTATTTCCTGTAATAAGTTAATAATTATATTGTGACTATTTAGAATGATGAGCCTAATTAGAAAGCAGACATCTATGGCGCCTCACTTTATTTAGTAGTCAACAATTACTATGAATCATCCAGGAGAAATCAGTCATTTTTAAGCAATATGTTGGGTAGCATCTGTATATCCATGTAAACGGTTCATCCACAGGTTGTCTTAACGCACTATTTTGATCTATGTTTTAGATTATTTTGATCTATGTTTTAGATGAAACGTGACCGATCTAGAATTTCTTCGGCGTCTGTCCTTCTTATTTCATGTAAGGTCACAGACATCAGACAAATTCCACAGCAGACGATTTGTACCAAGCCTCCGTCTTACAAGGTTTCTGCATCCCCAGGTAGCAAACTTAGGAGATGTGTCGCTGTCATGGCACGCTGAGCGTGCAGTCAGCGTGAGAAGAGGGGACCGTGCAGTGAAGGGTTCCTCCTTAGGTCTTCTCCTTAAGGAGCTGCAAGGAACATTTATTGTCACTTGTTCTTAGGGATTTAGAATTGGGCTTCTGAAGTCTCTGAATGACAGATACATGAAAATTTTTTATTGTAGCTGCATGCATTCCATGATATATTTTAAATACTATGAGACCTGACATGCAGTATTTTAAAATTAGTGATAAATTCCTGGTTATAAGGAAAACTACTATCAGATTTAATATTTTTCCCAATGTTATTAAAGAAAACATCTCAGAAGTATAACTGAAAAATATTCAGGAATTTTGAACTGATTTTTGAAAGTTTACAATGTTTTCTGTAACAACATCAGCTGCACAGTTTCCCCTGAGTATTAGTAATTGTTCTATAGTCAGGATCTAGTCAGGATAATTAATCAGTCCAGGCGTTCAAATTTTATATGCAAATTTTTCAGATAGTAATAGGATAGGTGAAATGTAGATGTCTGTAAATCAGTATGTATTCATCTCTCTGTCCGTCTAGCTAGTCCAAAAAAATTAACAGAACATTTGATTTCAAAACTATTATTAGTATTGGAAATTATTTAACTTCTTTTTCTTTGGTATTTTTTGTAATATTTTATAGTGTTGAAGTAGTTTATGTACATTTTCAGTCCTGAGACAGTCCACAGAATTTGTTTATAAGCCTCCAGTATTTTTATATTTTGAATACACTGATACTGAGTTTGAGTGATGGTAGTGGTTGATACTTAGTATTTCTGCAAATATGTTTTGTTTAAAAATCATGTAGCAAGCTGTGTGTGCTATTTTGGAAAATATTCTGGAGAAACTGTGTTACTTGGGAAGAGTGTTACCAAAAAGCATCCCTGTTGCAGTGTAAGGAATACCTTAAAGCTGCAGGGGATGAATAGCTGAGAATGGTTAATGGAACAAAGAATCAGAGGTTTAGGTGGAGAGGGAGAGTCCTTTTCAGGACTCTACAAAGTAAAATCAATTAATGGAGTGTTTACAATTTATGTCTAAAGAGGGAGACCCTGCAGAAGGTTATTATCTAGAGAAGCAGGGAGCTGCTTGTAACAGGGGGATCTTCCGAGTCTAAAAGTGTAAGACACTCAGTATTTGATTTTGTTGATGGTTTGTGTTGGGAATTATTGACATATTTTAGAAGAGGAAACTTCCTTGTTGTAGCGTGGGAATAGAAAGCTTAGAAAAACCTGCCACGTGGATGCTGAATTACCACACCGGGGTGCTGCAGTCTTCTTTCACTTGTGATACACACAATTGCGAGAAGCTTTCCTTGGCAGATGAGAAAATAAGGACAATGTATAACATAGGGAATACAAGATTTTAAAAGGACATTTTTACTGCAATCACAAAGATCAGGCAAAAGGATTACATTTGAAAATAAATTTCAGAAATGAAAACTGTATTTTAATTTGAAAATAGGAAAACATGTACAAATCTGAATATTGCTGATGTCATATACAGACTTCTTCTTTCCTGATTAAAAAATATAAAATATTTAATTAAAATAAGACTTACAATTTGGAATATACTTTTACTTAGATTTTTTTTTTCTTTCTTTTTTAACAGATAGTGCCTTTGTGGATTGCTCCCAACGTGTTAACATTCTCTGGATTTGTCATGATTTTAGTTAATTATTTTCTAATATCTTTCTATGATTGGGACTACACTGCCTCAGGTAAATATCCTCATGCTGTAATTTTTCAGAATTAATGATCTGTTTGTGTCATACTTCTGACTGATACAGGGAGGTATCAGATACTTGAATCTTCCACTTACTCCCTTAATGAGGCTCCGTGTGCATATAGGAGGATCCGACCTTTCACATGGCATTGCAAATTTAGATAATTTTCTTGAAAAATCTTATTTAGTTGCATCCCTAAATATAGGTTTTAGCATGTGCTGCTTGAAGTCTATGATAATATCTCATTTTATTTAAAGTGTATTCAAGGGTTTAAATGTACAGCCAAAACCTGCCCTAATGTTCTTCATAAAATTTTCATTGGTTTCACATTTCCTAATACCTAAATCAATGCCTGAATGAGTTAATTTCCTTTCATTACTCCGCCCTCCCATTCAAGACTGCTTCTAGACAAAGAAGAAAAAGTTGCTAAACAAATGTCTCTTGAAATTATGACTTTCAAAGTCTAAGTCATATTTGCTCCACATGGCAGACGGAGTCAAAAGCTTTTTGGAGCTGACCGCTCCTGAGCGTAGGGCGCATTCCATTCAGTTCTGGGCTTCTCAGACCAGCTGTTGGAGCCTACAGAAAGTAGTAAGCATCTCCCAGGTGATTAATATATAAAAATCTTTGCTTTTCTTCAAACTAGACAATTTGGTGAAGACTTTTATTTCCTGAAAAAATTACGTTTGGGTTTTTTTGTTGCCTTTAATATCTTATGCCTGTGGTTAGGTTGAGGAGGTACCCTTTGGCGTGAGCTGTTTGTACATTTATCACAATTCTAGAGGCAGGGATACTTGCTAGCAGCTTTGGTTCAAAAATAATCCTGTATGAGCATCAAGTTTTCGAGACCAGCATGTTACGTAGTTATCCTCAATACTTGCAGCAGATATTTACTAAGTTCTGTAATAAAAGAGCATCCAGCACAGATCTTTTAATGGGATAATTTTATCTTTACATATTCCCAGTAGATACACATTGAACTTTAAGACTTTTGGAATGGTGATTAAGTCTGTTAGAGTTGAGATTTCTACGTGCAAGCCTATTCTTGGTTCCACATGAGAACAGTGCCCATCATTTCTCAGTTGATTGGAAACGTTCGTGCAACCTAATGAGTCTTTAGAGTATCGTATATCAATCCCCTACCTAGGATCAGAAAGAAAAGACTTAATTTCCTGGACAGCTGGTTTTCATTCTACAGTTTGAAAATTTGCAGCTAGGAGTCAGGAGTTGCCATCTTTTCTTTCAGAGAAAGAGGGTCCAGGGCACTGCTTTAGGTGCTGGCATCTCCCCGCTCAGCAAGGACACACCTCTGAGTGCAAAAATTCCCTGCCACTGTTCGATGCCGAAAACCTGAAAGGGCTTTGCACTTACGGTTGTTTAGTGCTGGTGTAGTCCTTACTGGATTATGTTTAAGTTAAAAAGAACGCTCTTTGGAACGAGGATTGGTATCTTTAGAAGAACAACAATAATCGTGGGTTATATTGCTGTCAGCAGAGCAATAGCAGAACCCTGGGTTCTTCCCAATTCAGCTTTCTTTTTCTTTTTTTTCAAGGAAAAAGAAAAGGCTGTTAATATCTGTCCTAGCCTAAGGATAAAAATTTCCTGTTCAGATCTGTATGGTAAAAGTACTATATAAACTCAGTGTTGGGGCTAATAATAAAGGTCATGCTTGAAAATGACACTTTTTTGCCTTTAGATACTACATAAACATTGACTAATTTGTTGATGGATAGTCTTCTCATGACCTGTGAAAGTTTTTGCCTAGTTACCATTATTATTATCTAGTTATCATTATTTTGTGCACTATTAGAGTCGTTTCAGGACCAAAAAACCTCTGCCCTCTCTCATTTACGCTATAAACACATTCAAGCCTGCTCAGTACTTCTTTGACAGAGCTCTCTGATGACTTAAGGTCAAACCCAAATATTTCAATGTGTTTGATGTAGTGGGCTAATCAATAGCAGCTTGTTAATGTGTGTAGGCATATCTCAGTGGATTTCTTTCGATGTTAACCAATATTACACTGACTCACTACTGTGTTTATTTCAGGCACGAGTCCTGGACTTGTTCCCGCCTGGGTGTGGCTGTTCAGTGCTTTTACTACGTTTTGTGCTTACGCTTTAGGTAAAGTACAATGAAATAATTTGCATGTCTGATGTCTTCATATAGTTTTATCTACTAGTTCATTAGTGCTCAGCCCTATCAAAATGGAGAGGATAGCAGAGACATTATTGATCTCTCTCCAAAACAGTTCTCTGAGATGGGAAAAAACCCAGCAAACAAATAACAAAAACAAGCCAGCCATAAGGATTAAAAAAAAAAAAGAAGCAATTTTTAATGATATATTAGAGGTTCTACAACTGTTGCTGTCATCGATTTAAAAAAAAAAAGAAGCAATTTTTAATGATATATTAGAGGTTCTACAACTGTTGCTGTCATCTCTCTTGAAAGTTCAAATTGTTTTAGAGAAACAATGGAAATCATTACGTATCAGCAGTCATTGCTGTTGGATTTCATAAAAATCCTTGTCCCCCAGTGATGACATTCTGCGAAGCTCCCTGATACTTGCATTAACAGAGGCTGTTTTCCTGGAGAGGGAAAATAAAGGGCAAAGCAGAGAAAAAGGGAAATGAGTGTAGAATTGTATTTTAACCTTTTAGGCACTTCAGTGCTTATGGTGTGTGTGTCAGGAGGGATGGTATGAATGTGGTGACAGGCCTGAGCTTCTTATGGGGATTAAATATCTTTCTTTTTTTCTTCCCTGTAGCCTTTTTTTCTCCCATAACACCTATACCTAATTTTCAGTTTCATATTCCATTTCTACAATTTTATATCATACCATGACTGTATTTTTAGGTACATTGCATCTCGGTATGCAGTGGTGTGAAGATATAGACCTGAACTGATGCAGATCAGGGAGTGAAATCCACCTTAGCATGACTTTCTTGCTTTCTCTTCCAAAACTAACTTATTCCGGACTAGTCTCTCCAGAACGTGGTGCAACAGAGCTATTTTTCTGGGGTGACTCAAGGTGGCATATTTGCATGGACTGCACTGTGCTGCGTAGCGTACTCTCTCTTTTGGAGCTGGTTCTTATAAGCCCTGCATTGCAGAGTGTAGCCCTGCATTTGTGTGCCAGACTTAAGATACCTAGGCTAGATACAAATGTGTTCTGGATGTTCACTGCAGTGTTGTGCAAAGATACTATCCCCTTTTGGTATCAGCCCCATGCATGTAGAGCCATCTCGATTAACCTGGGTGTATCCCTTTGTGCAGACATCTCCCTCTGCCTTAGGAATGCTTTGCCATTTCTGTTCAAGTGGCAAGCTTGTGCCAAAATATTTTGTCCAGAGTTTCTTTGTTTTTTCACCATAAAAATCGCTGGGACAACCGTCACTTGAAGCTGACTACCAGTCAGATTTCCCTAACAGCTCTCAGTAATCATTAGCAGAAGCAGCAGTTTCTTTTGTGAAAACCATCCTTTATGGAGTTGTAGGGAATTTAATGAAGTGGCTATTGTTTCATAAATATGAATTGCATATTGGAGCTGTTAGTGTATGACACCCCAGAAAGCGCATTGGAAATTCAGCTTCTGGGGTTCTTAATGTAGATGTTATTTGCCAGTGAGGCCTTGGAAGGCAAGGAATATGGTGATGACAGTCACAGCTATAACGAACTGATGTATATGTAGATTTTTGTGTGTACTGTCCAAGCCACTTCATGAAATATTTAGTCTCAGATTTAATTCTGCACAGCCAAAGTTTTCCCTTTGGAAGACTACAGAGAGCCATAATAACTAACCAAATATGCGGCTTTAATCTCTCTCAGCTTCTTTTTAATGACACAGTTACTCTCTCCAAATTCCCTAGCATGCTGCTCTTTTCCACCCCCTTTGTTAAGGTGGTTTGGTATCTTTTCCCTTTCCATAAAATGGCATGCTCTTTGCTGTTATTTTGAATTCCATTCTTTAAAAGTTGTATAAACTTTAAAAAAACTGAAGATTTATGAACCTTCATGAGACAAAATCGTAATATAATAATTCTAAAGCAGTGGAAGTGTGGGACAGTGTATGTCCAGTATTGAACATACACCATTGTTGGTGTGAATGATTTCAAACCAAAACCTAAAACGGGAAATATTTTCAGTTTCTTAAAAAGCTAGTGAAATCACATGGCAAATATGGGTAAAGATTTGTGAAACTCCAATTTTACATATGTGTTATACAGTTCCTGTGTTTTTCCCCATGTCCATTATAGTTAGAAATACTGTATTTCATGACACTATTATAAGCCTAACTCTTTTTAGTAAAACATTGCCACAAAATGAAACCCACTCTTTCAGTGATTTACATATTTTAGTATCTAGTGTAAATACTATTTGGTGACAATGTAAACTAATTTATGAACAGACTGATCTTAATATCATTCTCGTTAAAAAAGTATGACCCCTATAACTGTATTCTTTCTGACTTGAGATAGATGTTATTGAAATATGAAAGGCCATATACTGTTTAGGGATGTTTACATACCTATTTGCTAGTTAAGTTTCAGAAGCATCCTGAAGTAGACTCAAGAATTTCTGTATTTATAACAACACCATTCAAGTAACCTCAAGCTTATACACAGTTTTCTTTCTGCGCTTTTCAATAAATTGCCAGCAACTCAATGGCAATGTTAATGGAGAGGGAAAGCGGCTCTAGAAGGGAGCAAGCCATATTTGAAATCCTCTGTGAGATCTTTGATTTTTAGAGTTGTGAGAGCTGTCTCAAGAGATTTGTATTTGAGCGGAGGATATCTCACAGCTGTTTAGGTATTACAATGGGGAGATAGTCTAAAATCTGTACAAAATGAAATCCCATGTTTTCCTGGTTTACATCCCTGAAGTATATTTCCATTAAACAAAACTCAGAGTACTGCCAAATAATCTGGATAAGTAAGTAGCATATGATCTCTAGCAGCTGTGGAGTCTTTGGTCTAACTCTGTGGAGTTGTATCTCTAGTTAGTTTTGGGTTACTAATGCTATCAATAGCTAATAATTGTTAGCTATAGTACGTTCCAAGTAACAATAAAAAGCAAAAAATTATCCATGTCATTTTGATATTCAGGATATCAAGAAGTAATCTGTAATGTTTGTTCTGTGTCCTTTTTCCTAAGAGGTTCATCCTGTGTATTTACTCTGAACTTCAAGAAGAAAATACGTGTATTTCTCACCAGCATAGTCTCAGAGAAGAGACTAAGGGTATGGTTTGACAATACAGCTAAGAAAGGTTACAGCTGCTAGACCCCTTGCCTCCTTCTCCCTGCATTCACTGCCCCTCCCTGGTGCCATCTCCCTTGCTTTTTGTACCATTCACAGCACCCACTCTGTTCAGTGACCCAGAAGAAAACGTAATGGTGGTGTCTTTCCACCAACTGAGGAGGCTGTAGGTCCTCCCCTGTTCAACAGCAGTGAACTCTTGGATTGACTCAAACCATATTGCCCAACTGCACCCTCAGAGTGAGATCCAGTAGTATTTGGGCATTTTTCAAGCACTGAAGCATTAAAAGTGATCAACACAGAGCTCACCTTAACAGTAAGGTATTCTTAGAATTGTAGTATCACTTAAGGTCGAGTCCAACCATCAACCTAACACTGCCAAGTCCACCACTAAACCATGTCCCTAAGCACCAAATCTAGATGTCATCTGAATACCTCCAGGTGTGGTGACTCAACCACTTCCCTGGACAGCTGGTTCCAATGCTTGATAACCTTTCCGTGAAGAAATTTTTACTAATACGTAATCTCAACCTCCCCTGGCAGAACTTGAGGCCATTGCCTCTCATCCTATCGCTAGTTACTTGGGAGAAGAGACCAACACCCGCCTCACTACAGCCTCCTTTCAGGTAGTTGTAGAGAGCAATAAGGTCACCCCTCAGCCTCCTCTTCTCCGGACTGAACAATGCCATTTCCCTCAGACGCTTCTCGTAAGACTTGTTCTCTAGGCTCTTCTCCAGCCTTGTTGCTCTTCTCTGGACACGCTCCAGCACCTCGATGTCCTTGTACTGAGGGGCCCAAAACTGAACACAGTACTCCAGGTGCGGCCTCACCAGTGCCAAGTGCAAGGGGACGGTCACCTCCCTACTCCTGCTGGCCACACTGTTCCTGATAGAAGCCAGGATGCCATTGGCCTTCTTGGCCACCTGGGCACACTGCTGGCTTTTGTATTCTAAGATTTCAACCAAAAGACTCTTTCAAATATCTTATGTAGGCACACACACAAATGATTTTTGTGAAATATGCTCCCTGAGGCTGCCATGTAACTGTTAGTCATTGAGGCATTTAGCATCAGGCAACCTAAATGCCTTAGTGAATCTACCCCACAAGTGGTCTGAAGTCTCAGAGGGTCCACACCACCAACGGGCAGATCAGAACCCCTATGGACACTTTTCAGCACTTTCATTGAGAAACAGATTGCAGGGACTGACATAAAAGTGTTTAAAGACCACTGGGGGCAAGTAATTATGAATGTCTTTCTAAACCTTGTAAGGAAGGTGGCATTTAGTTTAAGAGCTGAGATAACGACAGAGAAGTGACTTGATAACTGAAGGAGATATTTCACAAGCAGTCCTAATGTTGGTGTTGAAGTGGCTGTTGTGCTTCAATTTACTGTCATCGGTGTATTTTTCCCATACGTTATGTATGGCAGTAGTGAAGTTACTCCTTTTGTTGTGCTCTAATTCTTTATTTCTTTTCCTTTCCCAATCCTTCTAGACTCCATAGATGGGAAGCATGCTCGAAGGACTCATTCCAGTACTCCTCTGGGAGAATTATTTGACCATGGGCTCGATAGCTGGGCTACCTCCATTTTTGTGCTTTCTTTTTTTTCTGTCTGTTCCCGTGACAATGGGAAGACTGGAGTTTCTGTATATACAATGTATATATATTTAAGTATTGTTTTGTTTAACTTTATGTGTTCACACTGGGAGAAATATAACACAGGAGTTCTTTTTCTTCCTTGGGGATACGATATAAGCCAAGTGGTAAGTATTTATCATTCCTGTTTTGGTTTTATTTTTTTAACTATGTTAGTGTTTTCATAATATTACAGAAATAGAAAAATAGAGGTCAAAGCAAATGTATTTGGCCGAGATTTTGAATGTGAAATGGCATAACCCTGAAAGTAATTCACAAATATTTCCTGCATTTGCCAAGGAGGGATGTTCTCGAGCAATTTGTCAGCATCAGAAATTCACTGCCCTGCAGGAAAAAAAGGCTTGCAGCAAGCCTAGCAGTCAGCTAGCGCCCATGAGAATGTGATTTAACTGTATTTGATTTGTGATACTGACAAAAATTACTATGCTATCCGAAGCCATTAGCAATTTTCCCACCAACACTAGGATCTGAGGTATGATGTAAACTAGTCCGAGTAGTATTTATTAACCATAATTATACAGTTATACAATACTAGACCTTCTCAATTCTGCCACCTCTGACATCAAATGTGGTGATGGAAATAGGGTTGTACCTATACAGCAAGCATTAACTGTTGTCAAGTGAGTTTTACCCTTGAGAATAAGTCCAAGTCGTACCATTAGAGGTTTCCTCTCTGGGAACGGCATTCAGTAATGTGAATTATGTATCGGCCCACAGCTAGTCCCCAGCTGAGTTCCTGACTGGCTCACAGCTCTACCTTGAGGTGGACCTCCTCAGAAACGTGGCCAGGGCACCACGGTGAGTGGTGGCCTCAGTGCACAAATGAGTAGCAGCAGTAACAAGCTCACTGCACTGTCGAGGGCCCAGCACTGGGATTTCTGGGCTGGCTTATCTATTTCTTAGATAGCCAGGCTCTTGCAGCCTGAAGAGCACAGTCCCAGTCTTCTGAGCTTCCTGTCACAGGCATGAGATGAAAGATACAGCCAAATATACATAATTGAAAAGAAGTTTGACAAATATTCAAATATATGTTTTAATGGAAATATAGTATTTGAATTAGTGGCTGCAGATGTATTGCTGTAAACATAATCAGAATCCAGTGGTTTGAGAACAACTCGGAGATGGTGGTCCAGCTGTGGTGCATCTGTTTTGTCCCCTAGAAAATAGGTTCTGGGAGAAGAAGTTGGCTCAGTACTAAGACATTAGGCAGCCAGCTGGTCTTCAAGTTTCAGCCACGTCTGTGTAAGACTTCTTAGTGAAGTTCTTCCAGCAGGAGAGGAATAGCTGTGTTCAGACCGATTTCACTTGTTGCTCAGATGATCACTGTAGATACGCATGTGAATGTTTCGAAAGCTATTTTGGATTGCTGCAGCATCCAGCCCGTGTCAGTGGTTAAATAAGGGAGTGGGCATCAACTGGTGGAGCAGTACTGTTAACTGTGTCAGTGCCTTTTAGTGACCGATGCCTCTGTCACTGCTTTCCCATCTGGGAACTAAAGATAATAACAATTCCCTGTCTGACAGATGTGGTGAGGCTGAATTTCAGTAGTTTGTAAGCTGCTTTGATTAACTCGGATGCAAGGTGCTAACAAATGCTGTTTCCTGTTCCTCTCTGATACTGGATTGCTGTCCTGCATGCTCGCTTTCTAGTAATGTCTGTGATGATTTGCCTACAGTCAAAATGATAGCATATAAATGTAAGGATTTTTTGATGCTATATAGCGCATTCATCAGCAGTGGTAGAAGACTGTACTCTTGAAATGTCTGTATGTCAGTTTTCCCTGTAAAAATTAGCTTTAGTAGTTGTGATTGCCTATGAAATAAGATAGGACAGGATTTGTAGATGAAGGTGGTATTTTTTCCATTAGTCCGAACTACATTTCACGCTCACAGGAAAGTACATAACGTATTTTTTTCCAGCTATGCTAACTATTCTCGTAAAAGATCTGAATTCCCCTACAAACAGTGCCTTGCTCTTGTTTTATAAACCCATTCTGCAATTTTTGTATGATGCATGCGCTACTAAAGGTAGTTCTTCGTCTCCAGTTACTTTGAAGAGAGGATACTGAGGACATTAGCAAATGGCTGATGATGAGTAAGAAAGGTGATGTTCACCGTGCTGTTTTGTTCCCCACCACTTCTCTGCGAGATATTCCCACAGTCCCAGTCGGAGGCAGAGAGCGCGGAAGCACTCGCAGGCAGCGTTCAGACCGATTCCCGGTGTTTAGTTCCCTATTTCCTCCATGGCATTCCTAGCTGGATTGCTGCAGAACACGCCGTTCTGCTCTGTCTTCAATAAGTGCACCGAAAACGTGATGCAATTGCACTGGCATGTCAGATGTTCAGGTGGTCTAGTGCCCTGCTTCTGCTTTTAAAATTGATGGTAGCCAGGAACGTTGGACTGCATTATCCTCACAAAGCTCGGGAAATATGGTAATGGATGTAAGTGTGCAAATAGATAACAGTTGACCTTAATGAAAGCTTAACTGCATGTAGCTCCCAGGACACTGCTGCTGAGTCAGCTCCACTGTATATAAACACAGCCCGCGCACTGGCCCTGTGTTAATTATGGTATAAAAAGAGTTGCTGTTCCTCATGAAAAAACACCTCATAAGTAGAGAAATTTGTGGGACTTATGCAGATCACATTTTTCTGTGACTTGATGACTCGTCAGAATTGGTAACCTAATTACGCTAGCTGGGCTGTAATTGGCACTCCAATTAGCTCTGATTACAGCAGACTTGCATTTACAGGAAACTGTGGGGTGTAATCTTGAAAAATGGCTGTAATGTGTCTGAGAGATACTTGGTCAGAGGGCTGTTATGGCTGTTGTGGATCCGGAGTCGAGGAGGAGGCGTCCACAGCAGCGAACACTCTTCTCCTCTCCCCTCCCTCCAGCACAAGGAGCTTCCTCCTGCTGACTCCTCCGCGGGCAGAAGAAGGTGCAGGGAGAGGAGCCTCTTTACACTGCACAATCCAGACAATTTCAAGTAAGCACAAACCCCCAGAAGTCAGGGACTGAAGAGAAGACTGAAAAAAGAAACACTTGCTATGTTCTTGTATACATCTTATCACAAGCCCAGCCAAAGAAAGCTAATACCTGCAAATTAAGTTTATTGGAGAAAAGAAAAGACAAAGCCTTCCTGAGAAAAGCTTCCTGCCATATGTTAATTTTCACAGACGTCCTCTGGACTGTTTAAAAGTCTATTTTTCTCCTGAAAATTTTAATATTCCCTTTATGAAGTACTCCCCTAATCCTGCTGTTGCTTTTCATAAGCCACTGCAGTTGAGTTCATAGTAGGGGAACAAAATGTTCATTTTTCCTCAGTATGGTGTAGTGATACCTCTGCTTACATCGGTGCTGCCTTAAACATAGCACGGAGGTACCCTTTAGATTCTTAAACAAATGTTTGAAAGTGAAAAGAAGAGCTGTGTGAGAGCTGGGGTGACCCAGAGGATCGCAAGCCCCCTCCCCTCGCTCCCCGCAGCCCAGAGGGCAAGCTGGAATAAAGCACAGAATCACAAGCAGCAGATGTGGCAGGCAAGAGGCAGCTCTCTCTGGCCCTGCCCTAGCCCTGTAAGAAGGGGATGACCAGAAATCCCATATACAGTCATGCCTGCAGGCGTGGATGCTTGGATCATAAACCCTAGGTTTTCAGTTTTCGGTGCTTTCCCAGCTGGTTCTGGTGGCTTTGGGCGGTCCCACCTAGACTCACAGGGACAGCACTCTGCCTGCCTGGAAACTCTGAATAAATAGAGTATACAATGCAGGCAGTGACTGAAGCATCATAGAACTTACTTTTCTCCTTTTCAGTGATTTACTTTTCTTCTGCCTCACAGTGAAAACAGGGGAAGGGTTTTTTTTTTGGCTGCCATATACCAGCTTTTCTTTTGACAAGCAGTTTACAAAACTCATGCTGCAATATGTTTCATATGGCCTTTTCCCGGGCAGTACTGTGGCAGCCGGTGTTTCGGGAACTGGTAGAGAAATCCCGAGCAATGCAAGTGCACATCACATCTTTAAGAAACTTCTGTCTCTTCTGAGGGGCAAAAAAAAAGTCTTTATTGAAAAGAAAAATGAAGACGCAAATGCCTAGTTCGTTGGTCACGTTATCAGGGTTCAGAATCTTTTTCATTTTAGTTAAATATATCCTCACTTTCAGAGCTTTTGTAATTGGAAGTGTCTGTGGAATGCATGGCCTTTCTCAGGAAGAAATAGTATTGATTATTACTTAGTTCCAATGGTAGGAGCACGCTGGAATTGTTGAAGTGAAAGAACCGATAGCGGCGTGGAAGCAGTGCTGGCCAGGCCATTGTGTCTGCTTCCAGCTGCCCTGACACAGCTGGGAACCGGACTTGGTACTCGGTTACCTGAGGCAGAACCCACAGTGTATCCAAGTGAAACCTGAACAGCTGGGAACCTGCGGTGTGCAGGCTGTTTCTGCACAGATTGCTTCATTCTTAACCACCTAGTTACGGTTCTACTCAAACCTTTCTTGGTTGATTACTCTTCCACGTGCCTTTAACTGTTTACCTATCACATACTGCATGTCTAAATGCAAAATTACCTATTTAAGACACATAAAAAACTTTTTTAAAATGCAGAAATTACTCTTCACGCTAAAGCTCAATCCTATTGAAATCACTTGTAGAAAATCATGAGTTCTTCCTAAACGACTTCGCTCTCTAGGTGTTTATTTTGAGCGCTGTGTTAATGGAAAATATTTCAACACAAGAACAATCAATGCTATTGGAATATGGTAGTGAAATTGAATAGTACAGTAAAATTAATGCCATTTTTTGTGGAATCATGAAGGATTTAAAAGCATAGCCAGAATATTTTTTAAAAAAGATGATAAACCGTTTGATTTTTTTCCCCATGTGGTACATCATACGGCATATTCAGTGTGCCTGTGTGTAAATCAGAAATGGTGAATCATTACGGAGAAAAAAAATGTATGTACACACACAATCTAGAATATTTTGGTTACAAAACTTACACCTGCAGTAGTGTAAAGGCATGAAAGAGATGGTGATTTTAAAAAATAAAATATTTTAGAGAACAGTGAAAAGGCTGGAAGCTAGGAGGTTTTGAGGAGTAATACTGCCTTATGGTTGTATGGGATTTTCCCCAATGCCACATTGAAGCAGCAATATTCTGATTTTATAGAGGGACAAAAGTGACTATGTTGCTGTGATTTACAAAATTGTGACAAGATAGGGAGCCGCTGCTCAGAAGCCAGCTGTCCTGCTGTTCAGCCATATCAAAGGGCCTACAAATTAACACAATGTATTTCCAGACTTTTGTCTGCATAAGTACTCCTCCTCCTGAGAGATAAGGCCTTGGCAAGCCAAAAATTGTCCTGGACAGATGCTGCAGTGAGTTGGAATCCACGATTGTATATGTCTGACACTAACTTGCTAGATAGTCCTTACTTGTGTTATTTAGGTTGGACTTCTTGTTTTACAAAAGATTGCAGTTATTTTAACTTGCTAAAGACTACATTTATATCTTAAAAGTGCTAAAGCTGATCGATGCCAGAGACATGAGCAAAAAAATTGGCCAGCTTTTCTTAAGTAGAGTTACTCAGTTGCGGTTAGGAATACTGCTTTACATTGTGATTTTTTTAACAGTGCCTTTAAAAACAGGTCACAGAGTTGATTAACATGCTTAGTTGTTGTCTAATAAGTTTGACCACCTTCAATTTGTGCTAAGGTAGCTTAGATCAAGGGACACAGCCATTTTCTCACCCTTCCAGCTTTCTAGAGGAGATATTGGAGACTGCCTCAGTGAAGTCAAAATGGTTATTCTTACTGATTTCAGTGATACCAGGATCTCAGTTACGAGTCCTTAAAAAAACATGTACCAAAAATTTGAAGCCAGAAGGTGTTTTTCATACACAACATCTGTTAAATAAGAGGCAATCTCAACCTGTGAATGCTGCATCACCAAATCCCAGGGCAGGGGGTTCCCCCGAGAGAGCCCATTGCACCGACGCTCCTGTTCCTAGAGGTCTGCTGACATCTGACAGTGATACTCATATGACTGCACTCCCAAAAGCACTGACTGTATTAATGGATAACATTGACGTTCCTCTTTCATCACTTGCCAAAGAAGTCTGTTCAGAATTCAACGTGTAAAGATAAATTGAGGCTCCATCAAAGCCAGCTGGAGTTTTGCCATCAACTTTGATGGGGCCAGGTGTCCATCCGTCATGTCTCATGGATAACATAATGCAACTTCTTCAGAAAGCCAAATGTTGGCTCTGTCATAGTCGGTTGTAAAACCCATAATACACGTCCTTCATTTAGGCCAAAATTTGATTCACTGTCTGCAGTGGCCCAGGATGTAACTCTCATACTAGTGCCTGTTCTTCTCCATCGCAGATCTGTTGTGCTGCTTATTCTTGCAGAGGCAATTCAAACACCCAATTCTGCAATGCCACATTCAAGCAAAACTCTTGAAAAAGGTTCTATACTGATAGGGCAAGAAACTTGAATTTAGCTACAGAGAAGTAAGTGTATGAGTGTATAGGGGACTTTATGAGTGTAATATGAGTTTATATGAGTGTAATAGGGAGTTTAATGGACATCAGTGTTCTGCTGCTAACCTGTGATCTGAAACAGACTGTTATCTAAAACAGAGATTTTCAGTGTACCTTTAAATTAAAGCAATTAATTTAATAGAAGACTGGAAGTGTGTTTATTGAAATCAAAAAGGAAGAAGGAACATAGCAAAAAATGAGTACTTAAAAAAACTAATAAAAAAATAGTAAAATCTATCATATAGGTAAAGCTGGGAAAGATTTGTCATCCCAGAGCGAGAAGCAGTGTCGAAAGGAAAATATAAAGGTTGCTGAATGTTACCTGGGAATAAATACATGAATATGCCATCTTCTAAACTGCATTATAATTAACATAGTTGTTTTAATTTAGAGCTAAAGTAGATGTTCACAATTCATTCCTAAGCCAAGTCTGGAATAGTTCAGGAGGTTGAGACATGTAAAATGAAATATGCGGCCCTCTTATGAACCCTATAGCAAAACTAAACAGCTGAGAAAAATATAGCCTAGAAAAAGAGTGACGCAGCAGAGTGGGTGGCGTGGGCTGAGCTGGCTGAGCGGGAACCGGGTTTGAAGGGAGAGTGGGGTCCCTTGAGGAGGTGGGATCAAGGGCACAAGGGCTGGTGAACCACTGCATCGCGTTCAGTACTGCATTTGCACGTTACATGCCTCAAATGATAAAACTTCATCAATTTGTGCCATAGATGGTAGGCGGTACTGCTACAGGTATTGCAGTGGGTGTGAAAGATATTGCTATAGGAGCTGTAGGGTTTTGATTGCATTCAGATTTCTGACCTCAGCTGCATCAGAAAATGAACCCTGAGCAGAGAGTAGAAACTACATTTACATCTGTACTGAAACTGGTGGCATTTCAGCACGTGAAGTGACTCATGAGTCTTGTGTTTGAGTCCTTTCACTCCTAATGAAGTTTGACTACTTGTTTCTTTTTGCATCCTGTAATGATGTTATCTGTCAAACAAATTAAAAATCAGGGAAGACTTCAACTCGCTCCCCTTCTTTTTATTTCTTCACATTCAGCTGATTTTTTTATTTCAGGTGAGCTTATATTTTTTTCCCCTCTCAGTTATTCTGATATGATCCATTTAGGGGGCTGAGCTGCAAAAATAGCCACGTTGCTAATTCTGAAGTCTGTATGCAAATGCAAGAAAGTGCCTTTGCAGTGGAGAGACCTGGCTTTAAGAAAGGATTTAGAAATTAGGTGTTTTGAAAAGGTATGTCAGTAATACCACATGCAAACAGATGCACATGTTAGCCGGGAAGTTGTTTGCTTACTGTATTTCATGCTTTTTAAATAATTTTGTTTGTGACCCTGGAAGCTGCTTAGAACTAGTTGTTTTGGGATGGCAACAGAAGGCCCTGTAAAGTGGAGACCGGAGGAAAATAACAAGGTTTTTTTGCTCTTGCATTTGTACAAAGATGATAGACAAAATTCTGTGCCTGTAGAAGTAAAGGGTTGAAAATACTTTGTCCTTTTTCTATAGGTATTAATTGCAGCATATCTGCTCACTGGTGCTGTTGGTGTAGAAGTCTGGCAGAAGCCTTTCCTGTTCGGTTATTACATCACAGATGCATTAGTAATCTTGCTTATAGGTAAGTGTCTGGATCCATGGAAAACTGTACTGTTTTGTAATTATTTTGATTAGATATTTCTTGTATTTCCTTTATAATTTTTTTTCCTTTTTGTAAGTGTTTGCTAGTCCAAAAAATGCATGAATCGTGCTGACTAAAAGGGCTGATACTGGAAACCTTTGAAAAAGTAGATGATTTTGGAAACGTTTTCCTCACTAAGTTACTATCTGTTGCACACAAACAATACAGAAAATGTGTCTTATCTGCACATGCAGTTCAGTGCAGAGCGCTGGCTGGCTGGCTGGCTCTCAGAGTCTCGGGAACTCCTTATGTCACTCAGGTAAAATGTCGCTCACGCTTACATACATTAGAAGTTTAATGTTTTGGCCTGCGGCACACTATGCTCCAAAACATGGATATATGTGGATATATATATGGATAAAAGGAATAAAGGCATTCTTTAAATAGTCTTAGGAGGCACAACTGTAAATCTGAAAAAGAGCCAGGTGGTTTCTAAGCTTTTATTTAGACTTGCTTTCTGAACGGAAGCGATGCATTTTTCATACACAGCAATAGCCTCTTTGCTCATTATTTGATGCTGTCAGTGTAGTTTTTCAACTGCTAGAGCTAGACTGAGAACAAAAGCAGTTACATTTTAATGAGTTAAAAACATGGTAGTCTTAGCCAGAAGTGTGTTTATGTGAAATAGTTTCGATGCATTGCTTGGAAGGTGAAGAAATTAGCATATAAATTTTAGGGATTCTATATGAACGTACAGAAGAGGAGAAGAGGGCACCAAGAAAAGTGGTTGACACAGCCAGCCTAGACTTGCATCCTGAGAAACGTCTTCAGTCCTCGAGCCAAATGGAGGGCTTGGATGTAGGTGTTCACCTGGCACTGACGCTAACTAGGGGCTCTCCGAGCATTGCAGGGGGACTTTTGAATCCGCTGCATCGGCAGGTGCTCTCACCACCCTTTCCCATGGAGGGGTCTTCAGCAGGTACCGCCTCCAGCCGCAGTGCTGCTTCCCAGACTTCCCAGGTTGGGAAGGACCCTGCCTTCAGGCCGTGCTTTCTGTGAGCAGCGTGTACAAGGATACGGCTTTGACAGTCCTTTGTGCTTTACCCAGGGTGTAAAACTGACCATGTGTGACCAAGACTGTACAGTCTTTTTTTTTTTTTTTTTTTTAATCAAGCCTGTTTGGGGCACAGGGAGAAAAATAAAGAAAGGAAGAGGCAAAAATAGCGGGTGCCTTTTCAGTAGTCAATGAACTATTGGGCTTGACAGCGGTGCAGCTGTAACGTGTCCTTTGGTGGCTGGCAGGGCCCTGAGGGATAAGGAGGGATTCGTGCTCTCCGAGGAGCACCACAAGTCTGGGAAGGAGGGATGGAGGGATACTGGCTTGCCCAGAAGCAGCAGGTTAGGCCTGCGTTGGCGTTGGGTGCTGGTGTGGGCTGGTCCCTTGAACGCACGCACATCGCTGCTTGTGTTCCTGTCACTGCGACGTGTGACAGCCCGTTGAGTGAGCACACTGACGGCTTCCCTTGTGCTTGGGAAGCCACGGATGAAGGTTTAATTCAAGCTGTTCAATGTATTAGGAAGGTTTGTGGTAGGGAAGCATGTCAATGTCATCAGATCCGCAGAAGCGAGCATTCTTTTTCATGCTCTACCAAGAACAGCTGCAAAGCAAGGTTTGATGGACTACTCCATTAGCATTAGAAAGAAGTATGGCTTCTGTTTCGTGTGATACACTTGTGTGAATGGATCCATGAGCAGAGATTTGAGTATTTCTTTGATCATTGTCCCAAGCAGAGTAGGCATAAGTAAGAGCCGAAAGATTCCTTTAAAAGCATTGACTCTTGCACGGTATCCACAATGCCATTAACAGGGCAACTTTTGCAGCTTAATTATAGTTACATATGGGTTCAAAATATGCAAGAAGTGATCTTGGTTGATTCTGTATTACAAAATTGTCACAGTGCTTAGTAAATGTCTTAAAAACGGACAGTAAATTTAAATAGTAAACAAGTAGAATCCTTCCTCTGAGGATAATGCACCATGCCACTTCACTACAGGTTTCAATCTCAGCTCAGCAATAGTGATTGAGGTGGTTATCATTGGATAACCTGCGTGCAGTGAATATGGATCTATAAAGGTTTTAGAAGCTTGCAGTAAATTGCAGGACCCCACTGTGACTGAACAAAATGTGTCGGTCCAACCTACACCAAGGGCCGAGCAGCCAGGAAAATTAAATTGTTCTCTCCCTTAGAGAGGCTGCAGCAAGTGTGTTTTGCTCAGCCAGATCCATTTGTATCAGAGAGCCCACTCCCTGGCATGCTCAGTTAACTGCCTTTGTGGCTAGTTAAAAAACAAAGCGATGCAGTGGGCCTCTGATGCTTTTTACGAGTTAGTTTCCCAGGACCCTGAGAGGAGCCATTAAACCATAACTGGCTGTCCTTAACCGTCTGCTGGCATTTAGTAGTCACTAGCGGTCCTGCTAACAATGAACCTGTAGCTGCTCCATCAATCCTTGGCATTCGTTTCGTGGTTTGACTGTTCTGTATACAACAGGAGTTCAGGGGCTGAGCCGCCGCTTCTCCGAGAACAGCTGGGCCTTAGCTAGTACCTTCTGGAGTGGGAGGAAATCCAAACGAGATGCACACGAGGGGAGTTTTTCAGATGTCTTTCCTGGAGTTTCGAGGGGGGGGAATAGCCCATGGATAACCTAAGGATGAACTCTGCAAAAGCCCCTCTCAGGGGAAGCTGTGGTATCACCAGGTGACACTGACTCAATGAAAATAATGGAATTTTTATCAGGTGCCAGAACACACAAAGATATACACAGAAGTGCAGCAATACCGGTGTTTAGATTAGATGTTTTAGGAAAACCTCCCAAGAGAGCGCTTGACGTATGTCCCTGGGAACTGTCTAGCACGCTGTGAACACCTGTAGGAAGGCCAAGTCTCCGGCTGCTGAACAGTGACCTCGGAGGACTCCCCTGTGAAGCAGAGAAACTTCTGCGTGGTGTTTTATGGGAATGAATTTTTCAGCCAGCCAGCGAACAGAAACACGTAATTTTCACAGGCAGTGAATGCAGCTCCATCACACACACCTAGCTGGACACCGCACAGAGGCAGACGGCCGCTCTCCTGTTTCTGGAGCGCGTTATCCTGGCTGCTGGACAGAAACGCCGCTTCTCTCCAAGCACGACAGCAGCCAGACCTTTCTGAAGTGACGTGCCTGTGTGCTCAGCTGGAACTCGTTACTTTTGCCCTCAGCAAGGCTCCTGTGGGTGGCACTCCGGAAGCTCTCTTGGGCTTTAACCGCGGTTGTCCCATAGCACTATCTGGCTAACCAGGGTCCCTGCAAAGGGCAGCACTGGGGTGAGAGCGGTCATTTCTTTTCACCGCTCCAGGGTATCCTGAATGCCTAGCATTCCATGTCACCCTGCTATCAGGTTGAGAGCAATATAAAATATTTACAATAAGCATTTTAAAACAGTCGATTCCCCACATAAAGTCAAGTACCAGAAATGATGCTATAGACTTCATAAGAAGGTTTTCACTGACAGGTGAACATCAGTAGTTCAGGGAGCAGCATTACTAATTGATGATGGTTTCTGCTTCACATTACATTTAAATGACCTGTAGTAGGTGCATGTTCTGAAGGAAGCATTTCCCATTCTTGGGACATTCATACTTGCTCTGAGATGATAGTTTTTGTAATAGCTAATAATTTGAGTTCAGGCTGCAATCTTCTCCTCGGTGGAGACATTTATATGCCTGGTTTGCGCTACCTGACTGTTCATTTCCATGCAACTTACTGGAAATGTCTTTGAGTCTATTAAAGTTGTTCAGAATTGACCAGAGGGCTCAGAAGTTATGGTGGGATGCACACAAGCAAAGCGTTACCACATCAGCTTCATTCCTTAGGGAGCCAGGTTGGAAAAATGACTCCTGAGTGCACAGTAAGATTCCTGCTCCTCCTCAGTATTAATTGCAGCCACAAGAACAGGCTTTGTGGTTAAAGGACCACAAAAGTCTGGAGTGGCGATGTTGTACATCATCAGTCTCTGGCCCACGGGGCAGACAGTTCTGTAATCCAGACGTGGTGGCACACTGAGTCCACTCTGTCTGGTCACCAGTGCCCAGGTCTGGCTACCAAAGCTTGTGGCAAAGCTGAGACAAATTTTCGAAGTACAGGTTTGAATGTGAAATGTGGCTGCAGTACTAACATCTGTCAGAGATCTGAAAGTTGAACTTTCTTTTAGAGATGGGGCCAAAGCATTCAGAATTTTTTCCTATGATGTGTATTGGACTGGGTTCTGTGCTGACCTTTGCAGAGTGTGTGTTCCTTGAGGCTCACTCCTTCTCTGAGCTAGTCAAGTATATAAAATGGGGAGTAAATATATAAATGAAAGCATAATAGCAGCAAAAATCAACCAATGAGACCAAGCCACAATGTTTGAAACATGCCAAGTATTTGCGTTCTGTTATAGTGGGAAAGCAGTTATCCATCCAAAACAGTGCCTTGTCCTTACACTGTGTCCTGTATCCTATGTGTCAGAGGAGGACACAGAAGTAGTTGCAGTGGGTCATTACACAGCAGCCTTCCCTTTTTTCAGTCTCAGAAAATGTTTAGGAGGCCATGGTCAAATTGTAAATTGTTTCTACCTCATGTGGATAAGTCGTTCTGTAGTGATTTCCTATAGTTCCCACTGCAGAGCAGCTGATGCTTCTGCCTTACTGATGGATAGTTGAATGATGAAATGTTAAGTGATGTGTTTTCAAAATGTTACCCCTTCGACAGGCTTTGACTAGCCTTGTTTGAAACGTGTGATTAACAGGAGTTGGCTTCCACTTGTCTGTCACCAGTTTAACATTTATTAAAGCATTGGTGTGACAGATTGTGCGAGACTTTGCTGAAGTAAAGGGTGTGAAATACTCACCTGTCACTCGAGATATATATGAAAAGCAGTTGAGTTCATGTTTGGAGTAACTCATCTGAACAATAACCCAGAAAAGCAGAGCACTGAAGGCCAGAGGCAGAGCGGTGTCATGGGATGTTAGTTACAAGCGGGAATGGGCTTGGTGGTGGTAGCTGTGAGGAGTCGTTGGTGGGGCGGTGGCAGCCCCAGAAGAACGTCGGACATGGGAGCTCACCTGGCGGAGTCCTTCTGGAAGCCAGCCTGGGCTTTTCAAATAAAGGCACCGCTTCTCTGGTGCTTGATTCTTGCTGTGCCCAGAAAAAGAGAATGATGTGTACGTGCTGTGTGAACAGGACTACATCAAAGAAGCAGCTACATCCATAAACTAATTTCTCAGTCTGTACTAAAGCCCCTAATGCTAATTGTTAGCTTGCAGCTCGGCTCAAGAGAGATAAAAGCAGTGTGTACTTCCTTAGACACCGAAAATAAGCTACATCCCTTTACAATCTTTCTACTCAAGAAGCATCTTAGATGCTAAACATCCAAAACATGCATCAACTTTGTGCATGAAGACAGTGCTCATGTTTACACTGTGCTATTAATCCCTGTAAAATAATTTCACACTCTGTAGATCTATGTGGGTGTATTTTTCATCTGTCCTTAAATTGCTTAATGTTTTCGGACTTTACAGGCTCAATTAAGTCTGAAAATTATACACTCATTTTCTAAGCCTTTTCCAATTACTAAGTGGTTCTAAGTTTGCCATTTTATGTAATAATAAAACGTAATTTTATAATTAGTGGACAGCTCAATATGCAATTATCTGTTTGCACAACCAATTAAAAGAGTTGTCTTCTCAAGACATGCCTGAGAAAGTCACACTGTTCTGTAAAAAGCTGCTGTAGCAGTTACAAGTGCTTCTAAATGTTCACCTTTTGATGAAGCTTGCTTCCAGACACTGATCAGTGTGAGAAACATTCAGTGTGTGAAGATTTTTTTCCTGTGTCTAGCTGCTCTAAATGTGGAAGAAATTTGCAAAAAACACAGAAGAAGTATTTAAAGAATTTTCCCAAGCTAATATTGAGGCCTAAATATTTTTAATCTTAATTTTTTGTTTGGTGACTAAGAAAGGTAAATGATAACATCCCATTTCTTTAAAGCAAGCATTGACTGTGATGAATTATTAACCTGGAGACAGAAAGGCCAGGCAGTGTACTGAAGGTGGCCATGTGGAGGTGTGGGCAGTTGCAGAACAGGAGAGGAGGGTGATGATAGTATTTCATTTGTAGGCTGAAATGCAACTATAACTGCCTGCTGTTAAAGAGATGGCTTTTACTGAGCTCAACTGCAATGTGGTTGGGAGAAGGTCTGCACAGAGCTCTTCACTGCCTCCCAGATGGGAGGAGTGCTCTGGGGAGTCTTTTTTTGGGGGACACAGTAGGGATGGAAAGGTACTTTCCTGAACAAAGTCCCACAGTTTCCAGTGTGATGTTCACCTAAAAGTACATGCTTGTCTCATTTTTGAACTTTTAACTATAAGGAAGAGCCAATTCTTAACAAATAATATTTCAATGCTTTTCTTAGGACAGTTTAAGGATGGTTCACTTGTCAGGAACTTACCAACAAACGCGATTTACGATAGCAAAGGTGTGAAGATAAACACCTAAGGTAAACATTGTCCTTCCTTTGAAGCAGTATAATGGGTTTAAAAATAATGGTTTAGGTGTCTTGGCTACCTACTTGGAGTTGCTTCTTTATTTGCTGGTGTTTACAGTCCGTGAAGTTTGGTGGGTTCAGGAGCATGGCTACCTGCTGTGGTAGGCTTTCGACCTCTGCCTGCACGCCAGTGTGGGGCTCTTCTGCTGGCTGCCGAAAGAACATCTGCTAGAACTGACAGCAGTGGCAGCAGTTCACTTCTGGCTGTACCCTCTCTCTCTCTACAACGAGCAGAGACCTGTATTTTGCAGAAAGGCCTAAATTAACGCAGGTACGGCAGCCACACTGAGTACCTGCGGTGCGTCACGGAAACAACCTGACTGCCCGCAGGTCTTCAGTAGTCTACATTTAGTTACATGAGGGTTTAAGATGCCCTCGTGTAACTCAATACGTTACTGCTGGTCTAGACTAACACAGGGGACAAAGGTACCACGGTATCCATCACGTGCTAGCTTTTTCTTTTTTTTTCTTAAATTCACTCAGCAATATCACACAACATCTTACTCTTTTGGAGTCGAATTTGAAAGCACCGAATGACATCTGAAGTTGTCACTAAAATTGATGGGAATTATCTTTTTGATCCCTCCTACACACGTGTGTGTATGTATATGCATGTCTGTGTGTGTGTATGTATCTGTGTGTTTATGTATATATTTGGAAAACAAGATAATGCCTTTATTTCTGACGTGTCTAATCCTGAATTCTTGAATGTACTGGTTTTTTGGCTTTTTTCTTTTTTTAATATGGATGAAATAATTCCTGATAAAGAGCTTTTGAAATGGTTATTTCTCTGAAAAGGGAGTCAAGATAGTGCAAGGCAGAGGACTGACCATAGGATTGTACCTAAATCCGAGGATTTGGGCTTGATACCTGCGGCCTGGTGTGACACAAGAATTCCCTGTGTGTAGCTGTGCCACCCATCTGTGCTTTAGCATGTCTGCCTTTAATACAGGCCTGTGTTCTTACAGTTGGGTCTCAGAATTTAAATCAGCTGGAAAACGGGGGAAAATATGAAAGGAGAAATTAAAAAATACTGGAAGAGCAGTAATACTTCTAATAACTCTTGAGGAGTTCTTTTTCCTGTAACGTGTTAAAAACATCTAATGCACTAAACTTGGTTCTTAAATGATTTTAAAATAAAATATGTGATTTTAGGACATTTAAAAAAAAACCCAAAAGCTCCATCGCCATGGCTTGGGCAGTGGCTGGCTGGCTGGGAGCCAGAGAGACAGCAGTGGCTTTGCTTTCCAGGCTGCACCTTTTGTTCCCCAGACCGGCAGGGAACGGCAGCAATGCGGAAGCGGCAGTTCAGCTCCTGGGCACAAAGGGATCCTTACTGCCAATTAAAAAGCAGACTTAATGAGTACCAAAAGCAGCCCCCAAGCCAGGCCTCCTTAGCTACAAAAAGATGGGAAAGCAACATGTTGTAGGAAATGATGGAATTTTGAAAATCCTGTAAGAAACGGGGGAACACCCTTTGCTTTCCCTGCTGCATCCTCCGCTCTCGCTCTGCTGAAAGCGAAGCCGTGTAAAAGTACAGAGGAGTAACTGGTGTAACTAACTGCCCCCCTCGGAAAGTGGCTTTTAGCTAGCTGGGGGATTGTTTGTGGTCAGTGTGTTATTTCTAACTAAAATGGCACTTCATAAAAATAACAAATTGTTGGCAACCATTGCTCTTTGAATTCTATTTCTAGTTGTAGTCTCTATTTCTGTTCCTCTCGGTTGCTTTTCTCCTAACAAATCAAACTTCAGGATTGCAGCAGGAAATTTAGATTTAACCTCAAGAGTCAATGTTTTGTCTCATGTCTGCTCTAATGTGATACAGATGTTGGAACTGCTGTACGTAACTCAAGATTTTATTGAACTAGCCCTCCCTGCCTAATAGAAAACATAGCTAACCGGAGTGCACATTAAACACGGATCACTCTGAAGGCACTAAGCTTGCGAATTTTAGAAATATATTTACAAAATACTTGGGCTATTACTTCAGTTGCACATCCTTCAGCTGTTTGATACGGAGTTCCTGCCCTGGTAAAGAAGCAGAGCTCTTTATCTTACTTGTTTTAAAAAGCAGAACCAAGAAGTAAACATGTGAAAATGGAACACCTGAAATTATTTACAGGCTGGATATTCTTTTTTTTTTCCAATTCTTTGTTTCCTCCTCTCTAAAAGATAACCAGAAAGACTGGAGAAATAGATTATCTATTGCATCCCTTTTTACTTCATCTGTTTTCCAGCAATCCTGATCTCCACTATTCTTGCTTTTTTTAGTTTTCCTTCTCTTGCGTTGCCTCTGTGGCCAGAGCGTGATAAACACTTGGGTATGTCTTTTATGAGGACTGAACGGTGAACGCTGGCATTTCTCAAGACTCTGCAGTGCCACATAAGCCCCAGTACCAAGTAATCTGAAATCAGTTATTTCCTGTATTCGTTCTTATTTTTCCTTTTTTCTAATAATTATTTCTAATAAGGAGTTTAAAGTTTGCTACTTTTCTGTACAAACAGTACACTGGGTTTCTTAAAATTTTTTAAGGTAAAACCAGAAGGTTTACAATATCAGAGTGCTTTTCTTGCCCATAACAAAATAGGAATTATGTATTAATTTAGTACACCAAAACCAATCCTCATGCCTTACAATATAAAAGCCGGGCAGAAGTATGCTACGAAAACCAATCCTCATGCCTGATAATATAAAAGCTGGTCAGAAATATGAGCAAGGTTTTATTATCACCTAAAGCCTCCAAACTCAGTTTGTATTCTGTAATAAGTACAGGAATACCGAGCCATTTTTAAAATTCCATGCTAGCTCTGTTATATGAAAAAAATCTTGAGGTCATCAGTGTAGCAGGACTGTGTATCATTACATATGAATTTTTTTCTTTTCCAGGCTTCAGTTTATTTCTTTCATTTCCGCAAACACTATACAACATTCACAGGTAAGTTAATTAACATTAAATACATCCTATCCCCTCCCATTTAATTCTGTATATTTTATGGTTTCTTCACGTGAGAAATAAAAGTAATGCTTGAGGTAGCTTAGCTTCTTTCACCCAGGTGCTGTCCTGGTAATGTAGTAAAAGGTTTTTCTGGCCAGTTTTGAGATTCTGACTGGTTTGTTTTCCATATTTATGACTCTTCTCCTCTTCCTTTCGCTTGCCATTCTCCAGGCAATCTCATGCTGGTTCTGTACAGTAAACTGGTGAAGGCTCTGTAGTTACAAACACTGCATTTTATTTGCAGTCAGATGTGATTTGTAACTTATGCCCGCACTAGGCAGAATTCTGTAGCTGATCCTCCCGCACTCCATGAAGTACTTTATTGTCTTCCAGATCCTTCTGTAAAACTCTTCTCTGTGTGAAGTCTGCAGATAATTGCCATCAGATACAAGCCAGGCAGGTGGCAAGCTGTGCTTACATCGGAGAGCTGGCTTGCTGCACCTAGGAGTTTTATACACGGCTAGTTCATACTCCAGTGGCCTGTTTTTATTAATGCTGCCTGCCTACCCCTAGTATTTGCTAGGTCATTTCACTCAGCTGTCACATCAAGTCTTTCAGGTCCTAAGTGTCCTGGAGGAGGGACTGTCACCGCCTGTCTTCAGGAATTAGTGGAAATTAATATTAACATTTAAATTTGGGAGAGACTAGAAGACAATAAGGCATCGCTCCTGCACGGCCCTTTTCATGTCACAGTACTGGGTGTAGTTAGCAAAAACTGTAAGTGCAGCCCCAAGTTTGGGGCAGGAAGAGGGGCGACTTGGGATGGGAAGGGCTGAGGACCTGCCGAAGGGCTGGGCTTTGGGCCACGGTGCTGGGAGCAGCAGCGTGAGGGGGCTGGGGGCCAGTGGTGCAAGGGGCTCCCGTTCGGCAAGACTGGGAGAAGGAGCACAGCACCTTGGCCATGTCAGTCCCTGGCAGCAGGAGCATTTACCACCATGAACATTCAGTTTTTGCTTCCTTTCCTCTCATGTCAGGACTTTTGTTTAGTGTTTTACTTTTGAAGTCCTCATTCGACACAGTTTCTCCCAAGCCTTCCAGTGGGTTTATCATTCCGCTGAACAGAAGAGCGCAGTAATTTTAAACATCCAGTCAAGTTTGCTTGAAGGATGCACACACAAGCTGTTTGGTGATGAGGGATTTGAGCTTTCCAGTCATCTCCTCTCTTATCATCCTGCTTGCTTGTTCTCAGCTGTTGTTTTATCAGAAGAATATTCTTTTTTGTAATGAGAAAGATATTTATTGGATTTTTGTGTAGCTGTTTCTATAAATGCAAATGTTCAGAGATTTTAAACAGGACATTTCACAGTACACTTCAAACACAGAATTGCTCTTCTGAGCTGTTGGTGTGAAGAAATGGTTTAATGGTAGTGAACTCGAGTAAATTAAACCTCCTTTTATAATCTCTCAGCAAGTTTCGCCTGAGTGAGAAAGAGACAAGGTACATGCAAAAGCTATTGATCTTACAGTTACCTTTTTCCTGGCTGACAGAAAATACAGTCATTTACTACTTTTAATAGTACTGCCTTTAAAAGACAGCTTAAAATAGCCAAAAAAACCCACAATACAGCATTAATTTTCCTGTACTTTAATTAGCAAAAAACGCCTCCCCTTTAGGCTGTACTTTGCAGAAGTCCAGGATTGTCCAACAGTGTCAGCTCTAGACCTAACCAGCAGCAATGCCTGCCGGCCGCGTGCTTGACTGGTGCCACTGAAAACCTGGGGTGTATCAGCTAAAGTAATTTCGTGTCTTATGTCGGAAGTTCCATCCTTTAAAAAAATACAGGTTTTGAATTCGCAGCAAGCCTGCACACTGTGCATTTGGCTGACAGCTAAACAGAATACCGCAGCTCACTTTGCGTAAGCTGAGTGCTCCATTGCCAGGCAATGATGAGCGGGTCAAGCTGGGCCAGAAGCGATGTGAATAAACCAGGATAATTTTACCCCAGAAATAAATGTTACTTGGGTATCCTACAAGTTCTCGTAAGATGTCTGGGTATCCAGCACATTTGCACAGGTAGCTGTGTTGCAAGATGAATTTCTTGGGCTGAATTTAGGCTAGAGTTTGAAGTTACTGTGCGGAAATAGAATGGATCAATTTTCTTACTCCATAAAATCATTGTATTTATTTACAGAGCACATTTAAAGAAAACACTGAAGAATGATTCTTTGTATGAAGGACTCCTACCTCTTGTGTCACCTCTGTTGCTGTTCATTCTTCTTACAGTCTGGGTGGTTTTATCTCCAGGCAACATATTAGCAAAGCAACCAAGATTGTTTTTATGGATGGTTGGGGTTGCTTTCTCAAACGTTATTGTAAGTATGTTTGTGGTGGTGGTATTATTTAGAGTTAGCTTTCTGTTTTTATGTAAATGGACAGAAGGGAACAGAAACTGTAGCTAAAACTCAGCAGAATCACACAGCTCTTCTACCTCTGTGTTATGCTCTCTCTTATCAAAATATGCCGCAGCAGTTGTCTGGACTAGGGACACTTCCAGGACTGCAGTACCTACTCTACCACAGCAGAACATTTTTATGAGGGTTCTTTTTTTTTTCTGAGGGTTTATGCAAACCCTAGTGAGGCCTTACTTCCAGAAATATAACAGCTATTGCCCAACACACAGGCAGAACTGCGGGCTTGTCTAAGCAAAAGAAAGTTCAACAGAGGCCGAGATTTACCAGCAGGAGTAGTGGGTGTTGTAGCCTTCCCCTGCTGTTGGTGTGGTGCGTGTATTCCCGTACCCTGCAGTTCAGCTGATCCCACATTTTCCCTCCGCTGTTTGGAATAAGGCCATCCCACTGACAGCATTTTTTAGGGACAGATGTGAAGAGATGCAGGGGCCGTGCAGTAGCTCTCTGCCCACAGATCAGTTTCTCCTACACCACATCACTGTGACCGATTTCCCTCTTTTAATGCCTGTGAGGCACCTTCAGCCGAGGGCAGCCAGACAGTAACGCTGAGCACTGCAGTTAACCCGGGGCTTACTTCGTGGGAGGAGGCCCTTTGGCTCTCCTTTTGCCAGGAGAGAGGCACCGGAGCTGCAGTCAAGCAGAAAGGTGTTGCTCCGTTTAATGCTAAAATCGCCTAAAGGCTAATGTCTAAACGTCATTTTAGGAAAACAGACTCCAACACCGTCTAAAATTGTGTCACTGAGCAACGCCACATCTGATTTAAAAAGTGAAAGGCCTGAAGTGCCTTGCGTTATGAGAGAGAGCTTTGAAAGTGCGGGATTTTAGAAGAGAAAGCATAACCCCTCGAGAAATTTGTGTTCAGGAACGGAAAAGAAACACCAGTTGTGGAGTTTGTTAGACGTGTCCTATAAATGTATGTTTCTGAGGGTCGCAAATCAAACAGTTCCATCTTAAGGACTTAATCTCATAGAAGTCAGGTTATTTTCAGATGTGTAAGTTTTATAGTACGCATTTTTCATTACCTAATCTACCCCTTTGTCTTAAGAGAACCGTGTAGATTCCTAAATGGGAAACACAATTATTTCATACCAGCGGGGAAGGTGCTCTCAGAGCTTGGCAGAGGGCAAGTTCTGCATGTACGTCCTAACCGACCGAGAGCAACTGTGGCGGGGTGCTTGCAGAAGAAAAATAGTCCAGCAAACCAGAAGTTTCTTTGTAGTCTACAGTTTATCAGACATTGAGTGCAATGCATATTCTTCAGGCCTTGTTTTTGACTTTACTGCAACATCTACTGCAGTGTTAGAGGTTCGCGTGGATTAAAAATGTATGCATGTTAGTAGAAATTATTAACATTTTAAAAGCAAGCGTTAAAAATGTATGGGGTTTAGCTGGAATTTATAACATTTAAAAAGTGAAAACCAAGCCTGTATTTCCTTTCACGTCCTCTGGTCCCGTGTACACAGACATCTCCTCCAGCGTCAGCGCAGGGGTTGTCATGGCAATGCTTTTCTTCTCCACGATACTCTGACACACCGGGTTTCCGTTATCTGTTCTGTAGACCACAAACTGCAGCCCATGTTTCTGTACCTGCCAGCATCTTGAACTTCTCCTGCCTTGGACAACACCACATTTAGCTGCCCACCAGAGCCCCCAGGCTAAACGCCCGGTCCCAGCCCCGACCGTGTCGCCGTGCAGCGTCAGGAGGAGCGAGGAAGGCAACGGCCTCCTGGGAGTAGGCAGAAAGACAGGCCATTTCCAGCGTTCTTGGCTAAACTAAGGAAAAAAGGCCTCCAAGGCCTTAAAAAGGAAAGCTGCATGTCCCTGAGAGGAGGACTGCTTTCCCAGTGCCCATGGCCGGGGGTGGGTCGACCACCCGTCTTGCCAAGAGACTCGGACCTTGCGTTGAGGTTTGCTCATGGGGCGACTCAGAAATACCCAGGGCTGAGCAAGTCACCTCAGGGCATGGCTGTCACAGCTCCCACTGCGGCAGCCCTCAGAGCCACATGTTTGGGTCCGGGAGGAGGGGATGGAGTGGGTAAGCCCCGCAGAGGAGACCTTCAGCCATCAGCATAGCAGGAACACGCTGGCCGACCTGGTGGCCGGCTGACGAGCAGGGGCAGCTCAGACTCAAGAGGTACTTCATGAGGAACCTCCCAGGGGAGACAGTGAGAGAGAAGGTGCTAAGGACCTACCCTGGGGCACAAACCACAGCTGCTAGAGGTTTAAATTCAGCAGGGCCAGGGTAGCATTGCAAGGTGTAGGCGAGGGGGATGGAAAAGCACAGGGCATGGTCCCATAGCCTTACCTTTTCTTTCCAGTCTGCCTCCCCAGTGCTTTCATCTCCGAGTGCTGTTTCTGCCTTGCTTGTAGCGTGAGTCAGTGCTTCAGGGGGAAGCAGGGGTTGAGGGAGGAGCACAGAGCATAGTCCATTACGCAGTCCTGTGATACACTGGAGGTGAATTGCTCCAAATATTAATAAGCAATCGCTATGAAAAATTGAGTACCGTACTTAACATGGTGTAAGAACAGTTTAAAACAATGTGAAATCCAACCTCTGGACAGGTGTAACCATTCAGCTGGAAAAATTACAGCATATAGATTGCTTTAGCAATTTCTGATACCCTCTGGACCAAGTCACGAAGAACTCACAAACTGGTGTTGCTTAGAAAATTCGTAATCAATACTGATAATGCATTGTAAAGAAAAATATTTACATTAGATACAAATGCTTACTGCTTGCATTATTGAAAGTTAATTATTTTTTCATGGTTTATTTTTGCACTCTTTGGCTTCCACAGCACAGACAGTAAAGCCAGTATTTTTTCCCTGTGGTCAGACTCCTCCTGCTGCTGTCATAGGATTTCAGGTGCTGCACAGGGAATGAATTTTTCATTCTTCTGCTGTTTTCAGGATACGTAAAATCTATTTTTAACCAAGTTTAAATTTTGATAGAAACTTAAATTGAAAAAATATTTCAGCTGTGCCTAAATTCCTTTTTGTTTTTTAAAAAAGAGAACAGTGTATATGAGACACATTTCTTAAGGAGTCTAACCCATGTAAAACACTTAGGCATACTTAACTGGTTTTAAAAATCTGAACTTCAACTCAGTACGTTTCAAGAACCCAGTAAAACTAAGCTAATTGCTTTCAGTTAAACCGTGTACCATATATTCATTTTTTCTGCCATTTTGAGTGGGATCCCTTTCCCTGGGCCTCCAGCTACATCTCCAGGGAGTCCACTGCCATAATCGAGCCAAGAAAATGGTGTTTTAGTACATGAAGGAGTACTAGAAAAGAAAAACAGGATTAAAAGTGGCATATATTACCTTCCCTGCCTCGTATGCAATGAACCAGCATATATTTCTGTCGTGCCATGTGATTAAAATACCAGTATGCCCTCCCAGTGGTGAACTGATGGCGCATTTGGTTTGGGATCACAACTTTACGAGCCGGTGTGAAAGCACGAGGTGTCAGACAACTCCCCTTTTCGGCTCACAAACAAAGTGTGTCAAAATGCTGTCTCCAGAGAAGCAGCGTGTATTTTAAATTATTTGTGGTGAAGTCTTGTAAGACTTGCAGGCAACAAGGCACGCAGGTGTATCTATAGTAGTCTTCACACCAGAAGTGAGCCCCATTTTGAACTTGAGCCTCATCAAAAGCAACCCGCAGAGAAAATGGCCGTACGTCTGCCCAGACCCCCTGGGCTGACCCAGCGCTTCTCACCTGCTGCCTTCTGCTCCCACAGTGCAAGGTGATCGTCTGCCAGATGAGCAGCACCCGGCCGGAGCTCTTCCACTGGTTCCTCTGCCCGCTGGCGCTGGTGGTCTCGGCGGCCGTCTCTGGGCTGCTGGGCTGGACGGAGGAAGCGGTGCTGGCCGCGTTGGCCGTGCTGGTCACAGCCGCCCACGTGCACTACGGGGTCTGCGTGGTGAGTGGGGGCCTCGGGAGGGGCCCATTAAAAAAAGTATAACTCAGCTTGCTGCAGGCAGTGCCTTTTTGCACATGCAGCAGCTTCAGCGGCTCGAATTATTCCAACGTAGCCGACTGGTTTTGGCTTTAAACCCATCACAATCAGAATATTTACACTCTGGTTTTATGGATCAGTTGACCCACATGGCATGAAAGCTCCCATCTTTTTTTTTTTCCCTTTCTTCTTCCTGAGGTTACTTCACTGAGAAAACAGGAAGGTAAAATGCAAAGTGACATGAATAGAATTCATGAAATAAGGTTAATTTTGCTTTGAATCTGCAAGCAAAAGAGCTGTCCCAATTTCTAATCTTTTCTTGGCCCTCTGCTAGCATCCCCCAAGCTGGAGACATGAATGGTTTTCCAGTTCATTCAGTCTCACCAGCGCATTTTTGTGCCTGCTAAACATCAGTTTTGTCGTTTATTGTCATCTGAATTACTGCTTAAATTCATTTTTCTTCAGCTAATGCTCTGTTTTCTAGAGAGTATTGTCAAATAATCCTTAGGAAAGTGTCGTAACAGAGCCTTGCTTTTAGGTAAAACACCTTGCATGGCAAAGATTTCATTTCACAGGAAGCTGGTCAGCATTCTTTTATTTAAGATACACCATTGGCATGCAAGGATTTTTCTCTGAAAGAAGCCTTTTGTCAGCAGACACTGGCATCGTAGGAGATTTCACCCCAGCACTGACAGGGGCCAGTTGGTGGAGGTCAGAATGGAAATACATGGTCAAAATGCACTGTTAACTGAGGGGGCCCAGCTCCATCACCATTTATGTCATCTGTGAACCTGGCCTGTAGTAATTGATCTTCCCATCAGTGTGCTGCAAGAGGAATGTAAAAACCACAGCTCTCTTGCTGGAATAGTTGTAGGTCCCCGCGTATTCGTAGGTCCCCAAGTACACGAGGGCTGTGGTTGCGTCCTCCCTTCTCTGGCTGGGAGAAGAAGGACGGTGAGTTGTGCGGCACGTACAAAACTGGTTGCTAATCTTGGTGATTTCTCTGTAGGGGAGGCAGCTGAGTGAGCACTTGAACATTTACATCTTTTCCTTGAAGAAGCGTGTCCAAGAGTGAACACCTGCACTATGATCAGACTCTTAACACTGGACGTGGAGGTTCGCAACTCTTTTGATGTGATAAATAACCAAAGAACGGAATAGTCCCGATATCCGAACCACCGCGGCAATGAGCTATGCAGCAAGATGCTTCATCTCAGAGGAAGATTCCCATCCAGCAGAGAAGTGTTTACCAAGTTGTTCTGCTGCTCATATTTATTCTCTGCACTAATGCCATGTTACTACCCTCTCTGAAGCTTTTGTCTTCCTCCTCCTCGCCACTGTGTCCAAAGTCCTGCATAAATCCATGCGAAGATACGTGGGATCCTGGATGGTTTGTAACCAGCGCTGGTTTTGCCCAGCCTAGGCACCAGTGGGACCCTGGCAATGCAAACCCTCCCTGTGTCCTTCCCACCCAGACGTCTGTGCCTGCTTCATTTTCTCTGTTCATTTTCTTGCAGCTCATTTCTTCCATACAACCTCCAGCAGGGCTTACGCACATTCAGTCTTTTCCTCACCTCAAGGGAATGTGTGAAGAAAAGAGAATGAGTTCAGAAAGCTATGGGTGCAGTAAAATGTTTTTGAAATATACGGGTTCCCCCCCCCCCCGCATTAAGAGGAGTCTCAGCTGACCATTATCTGTCAGAAACGCAGGCTCCATACAGGGGCAGTTGGCATTTATACTTGTTTTCTAGGCAGTAACAAGTGCATTGCTGATATTTCAGTAGCAACAAGCAATGTATCCTACAAAAGTTAACCAGCTGAGAATAAATTTGGCAAGAAATCTTCGACGGTTCTCATATTTCACTGCAAAACTTGTTAGTCAAACCTCATCCGTGAGTGCAAAGTGCTAAGCAAATAATTATTTGCCTCTGTGCTTGAAACAAGTTCGTGTGGTTTTAGATGACAAAAAAAAGGACTGAGACAGGAAAAGCTTTCTTTAGATATCACACATTTGCATGCTCCCTTCGTCTATAATATATGTAGGTTTTCTGCGTGCCTGGGAGGAAGGAGTAAGAATTTGAGTTTCATCTCTTTTCATGCGCTGCCCTAGCCAGAGGGACTGCGTGGCCTTGAAGCACCAATGAAACAATCTGCCCACTTTCCCCAAGGTGAGCATTAGATTGCATTTCTTGCACAGAGGGATGTGACTGGCTGACTGGCATCTTTATTACCTAGTTAGCTGTCTCGCTTGCCAGAAGCAGGGCAGAAGCGTAGTTGTTGAGCTGCTGAGCCTTAAGTTCTCCTTTTTCAGTTCTTAGACAATTTCTCAGGCTTTATCACTGACCTGATCACTTTTTCCCCCGTTAACATACCCTTGCATCAGTAGCTCCTGTTAATAGGTTCAGCTGAGCACTTAGTCATGTCTCCCTGAACAGCTTCAATTCAAGTTTGCACCTCCTGTCACAGGAGTTGGCCTCCCGCAACGTCAGCAGCGCTGATTTCCCCGGGCAGCCCTCACCGCAGGTACTGGGGGACGAGCCCGCGCGTCAGCCTCCCCCCTTCACAAAGCAGAAATACCACCCTGATTTGTAAAGCACCTCATGGTTTGAGAGTACGCATGTTCCGCTTACCAGACAAGCGCGTTGAAGGTCCCACCCCGCAGATGAACATCCTACCACAGCCACAGCTCAAGCACCTTAAGGCTCGACTTCGGCAGAGGACACAGGTCCTCCTGTTAGTGCTGGTTTGGAGCTGTTGCCGAGAGCCCTGCAGGGAAGGGAGGCTCTGGCACTGCGGTCCAGCTTCGGGGCTGCAGCCGGAGCAACGAAAGGCGTCTTCCAGCCTTCCTGCCCGCCGGTGGGGTGGCCGTGCCGCTGCCCTGCCTGATGCCCAGGGAGCGTGAGGTCCCCGTGAGGACGCTGCCTAACTGCCCGAGGGGTCTTAGAGTAAGGCTGAGGGCTGTTTATTTAACGAGGGAAGCTGAAAAAGGCAGTCCTGACTGTTGGAAGGGGAGCGACGAGTTTGATGTAGGCATGCACCCAGCAATCTCTCTGTTCGATGAAGTTAAATATTACATCCGATACCAGAGACACTGCGACAAAATTCTCACCTGTTTCAACAGTTTATATTTAACCTGTCCATCAAAAGTGTCTGGAGGAAGTCCTGATGAGAAAAGAATTAGAATAAAATTAACAAAAATACCTTTGGACTGAATGTAGTTGTACTGGAGGAACTCTGTGGACAGGCTTCCCTTTTCTCTCTGTCTTGCACTTATTTATGAAACAGTTGGAAGTAAGGGTCACAGAAGGGGCACGATTTGATGCACTGTAATGGAGTATTTTGAAATATTTCATTAAATGAAATTATAAAACTTGAACTACCACAACCTGCCTGCATTTGTACCTTTCTACAGAGAAATCACTTTTAAAGGAAATTAAGCTCCGGCCAGCTTTTCACATCCTATATGAAGACATGGCAAATAACTTTCTTCTTCCTTCTCAAAGCAACTTGTCACTACAATCTCTATAAAGACACATATAAAACCAGATGATATATTGGACAGTGCATATGTTGAATTGTTAGCCATCTTAGATGGTAACTGGTTCAATGAATGGGAATAAAACTGCTTTGTTCGTAGGGCTGGATGGTCACGGATTTATTTTGCAAAGTCAGATAACGGTGTGAAGATGACCGAACAGTCTCACAGTTTTTTTTGTTCACAACATTATGGCAGAAAGTTTTCAGCTGTTCCAACTGGAAAATACATAACTTCTTTTTTATGCTGTTGAGCATTCGTGCTAGCCCAAAGACACGCCTCCCCCTCAGTCTTACAAAAAGCGACTTAACTAGGGCTGCACTCCCAGGTTTGAGTGCCCGGGTTAGAAATGGGCCCCTCTGGTCCTGGCTTCATCCTCCCCGCTCTGCCCGAAGCCTTCCCTAAGTGGGGCCGGGCAGCGGCTCGGCCTCAGCCCTGGGGATGCCCGGAGGCAGGAGGGGGCCCAGGCTGACCTCTCGATGGTGGCATGCAACCAGGTAGCTCCAACCCATGGCAGAAAGAGGTCCCGAGCCAAGGCTCAGATCACTGGAGATTTAGCAGCAACTACCACAGCGACATTGCTGATGCTGCAAAAGATCAGAGCTGTGAGAATTACAATGAAGTTTCCCACTTTTATTCCAAAAACCTAATATTTTAACCTCAAATGTAGGTGGCTTTAAGTACTGCACCAAAGATGCATCCCTGACTACTTGGCCATTGCAAGAGAAGTCCACTGGGAGCTCCAGTGCCCCTCCTACAATCCTCTCGTCACCTCCTCGCTGTTGCAAGCTTTGCTGCATCAAAACTGAGATACCACAAGAGATTTAGTACTCTGAAATCGGAAGGCATTTACCGTAAAGAAGAACGTTCTGTTTACATGCACTTACACCCATACATGCATTTTCTTTCTTGATTTGTAGAAGGGGATACAGCTGCTGAGCTCTTCGGAACACAAAGAGTACCTACGCACACAGAGAATAACTGAACTTTTGTTTTTAAAGCAGCTGCCTTTTTCTTCCTGCTCCCATACGCAGGCACTAATGAAACAAAAATGCATATTTAAACCAGAACAGCATTATTTTAGAGTGTTTTGAATAGTCTCTAGAGCTAGAGAGATTTTAACATTTTTTTTTATTAAATATGTAAAAAGATAAACGCATGTCAAGTTATTCACATATTCAGACAAAAATCTACTCTACCATGCGACAATTTGTGGATAATGTAAAATGACTGATACATCCGAGTAAGACTTTTTGTATCTATTACGTCATTACTTATCTATTTATAATTAACAATACATATGTTTACATTCCTTTCAGTTTACATTTAATATATAACCAAAGCTTTATGGTGTGCTATTTAGTAAAGGTAATTACAAATGCATATTAAAACCATAACGGAAGAATGGGTTACTCACGGGGGTGGGGGGGAGAAGGACAGCTCTTCCCCCTCTCAGAGCGTCGCTCTCCCCTCAGCACAGCCACATTTCTAGTGCCCACGAGGTACTTTACCGCCCTGGCTCCCTCCGTCAGTCACTTCCCCCTTGATACAAGCAGTGAGAGGGCTGCGGTCCTCAGACCAGAAATAGGAGAGAAGGAATTTTCAGGAAATGAAGTTCAGCTTTTTAAAAATTTTTCTTTAAATGTGCTTCAAAGAGAGAAAAGGAGAGAGGCACAACAGCCTGCCTATGAACCCTCTGGGCGGCTCAGCAGCCCGACCGCTTGCGCCGTTAGAAAAACATTTTCCCTTGAAGTGCTCTCCATGCATCTGCTCGAGTATGAGCAGAGGATGAACTGCAGTAAGCAGAGGCTGCTGCTGACAACGTGAAGTTTATAGCCTGCATCCCAAAACTCCTTGCCCCCATCAGAAATCCCATGCAGGTTAAAGGACATTCTGGAGACTGGAAAAAAATTAGTAACTGCTCTTCGGTTCAACAGTATTATCAAGAACTACTGTTTATTCCAAGGACAATTGTAATAGGTACATATGTTCTAATAAACACAAATACAACGAAAATGACAATTCCCCCAGTTGTGGTGATTCTTGGAAATACTTGTTTTGGAATATACACATTTTGGTGAACCAGACCTCATTTGTAACCAATGGAAACGGGAAAGCGCTGGCCCGCAGGATGCAGTACCTTCACCTCATCACGGGTAGGACGCGAGGTCAGTGCTGGAGGCAGGGCTGGGAAACCTTCAGCCCGCGGGGTCCAGAAACTCTTCTGCTGGCAGGGGGAGCGATCAAGGAACTGGGAATACCTGTTCTAGTGCTTAACAGTATTTTATGTATTGTCTGTGGTGCAACACAACAGCAGGGTTCTCACACTTAACTAACAGCCACTTCGCTGCAGAAGATTGATTGGGAACAGAGAACTGCATGTGCATGTGTGCGTGTGCTGGGGGGCTGATTAACTGAAAACCTTTCTGTGGCAGCGTAAGCTGGGAACGGATGCTTTAGGAGCCTGCAGAGGTCTCAGATGATTTAGCTGTTCAACAGGCTGTGGAGTTTTTCAGTGACTGCCGATTGGGATGGGACTTCCATCTACCTGCTAAATCAGTGTAACGACCCACAATGAAGAAAATCGAGTGAGAGACCAAGAATACCAAGCATCATATATTCAGAGAGACTACAATGTGCAGTTTTACGAGAAAAATAAGGAATGCTTTATATACTTCAAGATACCTCTGTTTATAAAATACCATCATTCAGAACAGGGCGACGGGACCGCACTGGGATGGAAAGCTCTCACTGCAGACATCTCCAGGGCAGACGTGGTTCTGCACCGTGCCGGCCTCGCCGGAGGAAGGTCAGCCAAGCGCAGAACCGGCTCGGTGCCCCTCGGTCACTGGTCCCCCCCTCTGACGCGTGCTCTGTCTCCAGAAGGACCCTTCACTGCCTCTCCACGCTTTGGAAGCAGCCTCAACACCCATGAGGTCTCCACCGCCCACTTAATGGGAGCCCAGGGGGTTCAGGGCTAGTGCTGTTGCTGGTTTTTCCCCATGCCTTGCACTAGCGAGGAAACTCCTGTCCCCCACAATTGTGTGGCCAGGGCAGCAGAGTCGGGGAAGGACAGCAAAAAGAAATGGCTGGCCTACTTTGTCCTCTTCTGAGGGGTGGGAAGCCAAGTGTGACTGCAGAGACGGTGTCCTGCAGCTACATTTGTGTCAAGGAGATTTCTCTCCTCCATCAGCACCGAGCTCTGCGGAGGCAGAGCTGCAGCTGGAGGCTGGGACTGGATTCCTCAGGAAGGAAGAAAAGCTGGGAAACGTCTATTGACTAGTCAGGAAACTGGGAGGGGATTCAAACAACTCAAGTGGATGTCTGTTCCTCCAGAAATAAGCCAAAAAACATACCATGCAGCTTTCTAACAAGCTTTCTATACACAGGGGTTTAAATCTCTCCTAGTGAAACAGATGGTCTGCCTTCCATTTTGCGAAGGCAGGAAAGGAATAAATGTGAGCAACACGAGCACTTTCCTCCACAACACACCTCGTCGTTATGGCTTGAGTATGACTTCCACTGTATATCCCTTTATTCCAATTGTTCGACCAAGTTTATGCCCCAGGGCAGATGTACTAGAAAACGCGAAAGCACCACAAAGTGAGAGACACAGCTAGTGGTACGGTACTTCTTGCCACACAAAATGCCAATATAAATATGTTAGAACAAGTTACAAGTGTATCATACTTCAGACGAAAAAGAAAAAAAATAAATATATATATTTTTTTCAAGAGCAGAACAAATCTCAAGCAGCCAAGTGGTGAAGTTGCAGTGATGTACAGTAGGTGATGTAGCCCTACAACCTCTTGGGAACATACACTGAAAGGAGACGTCTGCAAATGCATCTTGGCAAAGTATGGGTACAGAATGCAGTGGTTGGCTGGCACTCACTATGGTACATAAATGTTAATGGCAGACTGGGAGTGAACTGATTTCAAGTTTGAGGCCGCACATGTTCCATTCTCCAGAAGAAAGTTCTCACACAAAATGAAAATTGTCAGAGACGCTGGGTGAGTCAGTACTCCTCCTGCTGCTGGGGCTGTTCATGGACTTGCTCTTCACCTTCATGCTCTTCTGTGTGGCTCTCCTGCAGGGAGAAAACAGACCCCAAAACACTCTTCAGCAGAAAGCACTCATCTTGCCCCGTGGCGCTCACCATAGTCTAAAGCTTAACTTCTAATTTTCATACACGTAAGTACAAAATGAGCTGCTACCTGAGGAAAGCAGCATCTTGTAATATTACAATAAAATGTATTTACTTTGCTTTTAATCAATGCATATGCGGTACTGATATTTCCCCAGAAAAAGTGTCAGTTTTCAACATCACTGAGCGCTAAGCATTCCAGTGAGCGAGCACTTTGAATAGCTAGACAGCAAGATGCTCAGCAGTTGGATGCTGTATCACAGCATCCTGGTGTCCCCCCATTTTCAGTTTGTCCAAGGATTGCTGAACCTGTCTGCTGTAGTTTTCACACAATCTTCACTTCAGGTCTATATCACTAAATGGAAAGACACTTTTGCTATCTCCTGCTTTAAAAATTAAACTCAGTCTCCTTTCTGAGGTCAGACATACTGCTTTCCCACAATAATATATCCATGCTAACATAGCCCAGAGTTCAAAGGTTATCAAAACAGCGATTTTTAGTTGTACCCAGAAAATATAACCAAAGACTTGCAAACACATTTTCTTTGAAAAAATTGAATCCAGTATTCACTGATTTATAGAGCTACTGTTAAAATCACTAATCACTAACAAGCACTTCCCTTTTGCAAACTATTACTATGCACAGTATTTTCTGGAGCTGTCTCTCTGAACTTACATTCCCGCTGGGAGAAGAACCCTGACCAAAGGAAAGGCTGGCTCCTCGCTGCTGCAGGTGATACCAGTTTCAAACGATTTCCAATTCAGAGACCACAGACCTGTTATCCTGAGTTGACCTGCATGCTACCAGAGCTCAGAAGGTCTGGCTGACTCTTAGAGCACTACTTCTGTATTCCCATCAAGCACAGCTGCGTTGACAGCTTTCCTCTCAAGTGGCCTCCATCTTTCCAGAGCACGGTTTGCTGAGAAGACCCCCCACGTCTACTCTCTGCCCCGCTGTCGGCAGCTCCAAAGGAAAACATTTTTCCAAGACGCTGAGCTGCCATTCAAAACGCTGCATATCCCTGATGCGGCACCTCTGCAGAACTCGCCCGGCTCCCAGCAATTTTCGTTAGAAGGAAGCGGCTTGAACAATGAACTTTAACAAACTGATACCGCTAAGTTTTCAAATTTGAGGCAAAAATCAAAAGAAAAGGGAGGCCGTAATTTGAATTTTCCCAGAATAGTTCAGAGCAGCTTGTGCCATAAGAAAATTCCCTTCTGGCAATAAAATATTCATATTTCTAAAGAGCAAGAAGAGGAGAATAAAGTTCCTAACATTTGCTGATGCAATGGAAGCTTTCAGCTGTTTACCACGTACAGAAACAGCCAAATTTCAGTCAAAAGCAAGCTTTCGATCGCTCCGGCGCTATTTTCAGGTAGACGCCACACATGCCAGTCGGGACAACTGCGGCTTAGCGCCTTATGGCCCCTTGGGGACAACGATGCCCATGTGACCTACAGTAGGTATGCCACGTCAAAATAACTTTTTGCATAGCATCTAAAAATCACAGCTTCTGTGAGGGGCCACAAGACTTGCGGAGAACGGGAGTTTCACAGAGAGAAGATGACAGCTGTGAGAATGTGACCCTGCCTTACGGGGTGGGAAGACTGAAGCCTGTTTAGCCGCAGTGAGCTCTGCTCCCTTAACCCCATCTGTCCTGACCCTCCTTATACGCTGAGGTGACCTGCTCTGGAATGCACCTGCTCCACAGGCTCTATGTATGCAGCATTCATGAGAGACTCCTATTAGAAAGCCCACTCGTGCAGATTTTGTAGGTCACGTACGTGCTATCCTTTCATGCATATAACAGAAAAAGCCTCTAACCACGGGGAGTGGCTTGGGAACCTACTCTGCAGCTCTGAAGGAGAGTGGTAGCTCCTCTCTTGCCAAGCTGACCTTTGATGGAAATGGTAAATCGTATGTGACTACCTCAGAAGTTGTTCTGAGACTTGGACATGTGCTTCTCAGTATGTACAGCTTGTATAAATACACTAAATGGGAAAGACAAGAGTCACTATGCCTAATTACCTTGGGACTGTGGAATCTCCTCGAATAGCATCCCCTAATAAGGGAAGTAGTGGAAGATCTATTTAGAGCATTTATTTCTGGCTTGGATCACAAGACCGTGGTCATCTCTGTCTCCCACAACAAGAGCTGCTCTCTTTTGACCCTTCGATCCATCTGCCTCAAACTAATTCAGGTGTGCCTGGAGACTGGAGCTAGACTTTATGAAAACCAGCTCCTGGAGGGGTGGGTACCTTTTCCAAAAGCAGCAGCAGATGTAGTAGCTGCTAGAGCAGAAAGATACAAACACAACTGCATTTTGAGCAGTTGTGTCGGAAACTTGAGCTAAGCAACTGATACATCAAACGGCAGCAATCCGCTCAAATTCTGCATGAGCTGAACCAGAACAGCCGTTTTTGCTTTATGCCAAGACCTACGTGGCTCCAGGTTTCATACCTAGACACATAGACTCTTCTGGTTCATCAGTCTGAAGCTCTCCTACTCTAAGACCACATGACCAAATGCTTTAAATGCTATCCGAGGTCTCAATGCTGTCTATAGCAGTCACAGCATGAGTGCTAGGGCCACGCCTCCACACCACCCAAATGTGTCCTTTTCTAACACCCTTCTCTGTAAATTTTGATGTTTTTGATGAAGAAGTATGATTACAAATGAGCAATTCATAATTAAAAATCACAAAGGATTACAGACTGATTAGCCAAACGTGAAGTGACACTAGCAGATACAACATCCCTCTTGCATGAGCAGAGACCTCATAGTGATGAGGTTTAAAACAGAACCACAACAGCGAAAAGACAAAGAACCCAAATGGATTGATATCTGTGCTGTAAGGCTGAAAGCATCACCAAAATCAAGACCAAAAAAATAAGAATAAAAAAACCCCAATGTATCAGTCTTAAAAATTTAGCCTTTATTGAATTAAACAAAACAGAAGCTTATGAAGTGACATGGTTGAAACTACACTATGACTTGGAATTCCAAAAAAAATTACACCTCCCACCTCCCTGCCCCATGACATGAACCTGATTAAAATCTTCAGTGCAATACTAAAATAATCATACCTCTGGAGAATGCTTTTCATAGGGACTACACTCTACACTTGCATTCTGGATCATTCTACACAGAATTCACCTGACAGCCTACAACGCTCACAGGGGACCTGTGAGCTATAGGGAGATGTGACCACTTTTCAGTGCTGTCCAGATATTTTTTTTGTATTTTTTCTTTTAGGAGGATTAAATTAAGCTTAACATAAAATTAAGTATAAAGGGAGACTTGTTCCTTCTGAATAAGAACAGTTGTTATGAAAAATAGGAGATGATCTCTATGCCATATTGAGTACAGTAGATGCCTGTCAAATTACAGCTAGGAAGGAAGAGTTTGAGATTGCTATTAAGCAGTTATTGGAAGTATGAGCTGAAAAGAAAGTTAAGTTAGTCATAATATTCAAGCAGAAGTCTTTGGTCAGGGATCACTTGTGCAGTACGTGTGAGCTGCTTTCCTGTGCATCCCCTACCTGAAGAAAAGCCTCATGGCCACAGTATAATTTATAAGTGTCACAAATCTTGAAAATTAATGTAATCCTTTTTTCCCCCCACTTTTTCTCTGTATACTTGAGACACTTGGAAACAGAGATTAGGAAAAAAAAAATAAAATCTAAGCTGGATTTACGATGAACTCATTAGCAAGAAACTAGGAATGCTGGAGTTGCCCTGTGGTTTAGGAATTGGGACTATTTCCCATCTGGCGACTGGGGAAGCCAAACTGCTGCTGCCGAGGGATTAATCTCCAAAATGCTGGGAGATGTAGAATTTAACCTGGGACAAATTCATTACAGACAGAGAAAAACACAGAACTGAAGGGCAAAGCAGGGCAATGAGACTAGCAAAGTCCAAACCAAGAAGCAGGCAGGATCTGCATCAGCAAGGGAACCACAGTCTTTGGTTTAGTGCTGATGCATTGGGGTCTTTCCTCAGCAAACTACAGTCCGTCTGCTAAGCTGAGGAGGAAACGCACCCCGGAAGATGAGGAGATCAAGTCTCCCACTAAAAGGCCTCTGTATTCTTCTCTGGGGGAGCAGCACTCGCTTGCTGAAGCACCATACCCGGCCTGCAACTGCAAACTCATTTTCGATAAAGGCACGGTCATCGTATGTAGTTCATGCACAGGCACGGATGGAGCTTTCAACAGAGAAAGGCTTGGAGGGAGGAAACAGATAAAACACTGGGATGTGGACTGAAGTAGCACATTTTGTAATACACTCTGCCAGTAAGGAAAACTGCAGGAAGAAAAGCAACAAATGCATTCCTTGGCGTGGAATCACTTGCTATTTAAGCCAACAGACAGACAGATGTGGTAGGGGTATGGGGAGAAGAGGGATTTTTCTGGCTTTGCTTTATAAATAAATCACTGTTCTTGAATCCAGAAGACATTTTCTCTGACCACTATATATATGTAACGCTTTTAGCCTGTTATCATGTGCCTGGCAAATTTGTCTTATTGTTTATTCCTGTGAAAATAATGGTTTCCTCCTCCTTTTCCTCTCTAGCACTCGCCCTGCACCGTTGAACAAATCCTCTTTCCCCTGCCACTTCTCCTCTGAGCAGTGGGCCCTGTCAGCGGCAACTCCTGTCCCTCTTGCACCTAACTTTCGTCTATGCTCTACTAGTCTGGTTTAGAAAAGCATGTCAGTTAGTAGTTGCTTCGGCACTACTTCTGATATAAAATTTTAAGTCAGCTGACTACTGCTGCAGTAGCTTCCTGGGAACAGACACAGGACAGCCTACAGTACCACTGTGCTGCGAGAGACTGACTGGATGCTTCCGCACTCTGGAGCCGAAGTCATCATCTGCTGGAGACTGAAGGGTCAGTCGTCGGTACAGTGCATACAGGGATTTAGTTAACGTGAATGGGAGTAGTTCAGCTAAATCTCCACTGAATCATGATCCCTAAATGTATCTGAGGAATTTAACCAGCACCCTTTGCAGCTTCTTGCTTTGTTCGGTGTCTACAGCACTAAGATGCAATGAGATTCTTAATCCTGCAGACAATACATTTCTGAAATTTTGGTAATAGAGGATTGTTGGGTTTGCACAAGGAAGAATTTTGCCTATAGCAACAGGATAAAAAAAATGCTGAAGAGCATTATCTCTGCAGATATAATTATGTATTTGGCAACCTGCACCGTACATATTACGACACTGCCACATGGGCTAGAGAAGGTTCACAGCTGCAGACACTGAACAGCATCTCTGTCAGAATTTCTGTGATTTTCAACACAACAAAGAACATGAGTAAAAGATTCTATGCAGAAAGGCAGAAGACAAAAAAACAAAACTAAGGCTGAGAACCATATGAAATCAATTTAAAATTGTGACACAACCCCTCCCATTTCAGATCAACTTCAGTAAACCTAGAATACAAAACCTACACCGAAGCAGCGAAAAGCAACCAGCATCCCGAATCCCTTCCCCAAGCTGAAAAGCCTGTTGTTTGCAAATGCAAACTTCCCTTTTGGGGGAGGAGGCATGGAAATTCTAGCTGCTACAGTTCTGCTGACCTAAACGTAGGACATGACCCAATTCCGTGCCAATAAATTTTTATGAAATTAAGCTGTTTTATCTAAATAAAAGACATTACACTCGAACTTACGTGTTCTTCTGAAGCATAAAGGACTTCCATTAGCCGGTTGACAAGGTCATTATTCTCTCCCCCGTGTTCTTGGCAGAGAAGTTCAATCTCCCTTAATTTGCCAAAGTAGAAATCCCTTTCCTTCTCCACGCCTTCAAGTGCAAGTTTTAATGAATGTACCTGCATATCAACCAAGACGTGATGCATCAGTTGTGAGGTGCACTACAGACAACTCTGTCTAAAATTACACAGGCTAAACAATCTGAAATATATATCCAATTTTACAGCTAAAATGAAGTCCACTTTTTTTTCTGAAGTGCTAGATTGAACCTGATACAATCGACAATAGTAAATCAGGCTCCCCCATTACACCTCTTGGATACATCTTAACCTTGATCCTCCTTAAAGGCCAATTTTCTCAGTGCTCTTTTATACTGAAGCCCAAAGCAGCAGTTCAGGAATCAGGGCTACTTAAGACTCGTCTCCTAAGAATGCTGCCAGAAGTGTCATGTAATGGTAATTAATGAAACTTTCAGCTCAGTACTTGCACTATTTTGCCTGGATTAGTGTGTAGTTGTTGGGAAACCTACAGTATCTCCTTGCCTAAAAATACGTAGATCTAGCAGAAAAGCTCACAAAGGGAAATGGTCTAGTTAGGAAATTAAAAGGTCCTCTAGTTGAAAATGTGAGTACTGCTGTGTTGTTTTTTCACCTCTCCTCTTCTGCCTCCCCACTTACCATACTGTTAGAGACCTGCGTTTTGGCACTCTGATGCCATGGACTTTCTGCTCTGATGTGCTGTTTCTATCAACAAATTCTCTCAAATGCCAAGTATCTTTCTCTTTGCAACCTTGTTCACAAGAGTCTTCAAGCTATACTGCCAGTCTCAATTTCATCGCTAGGACTGCTGCAAATCATTCATGGGCAACATAGCTGTTAATGATCAGGCTTTGTATAAATCATGACAGATGTTGCAATATATTTTTATACATACATATATATATATGCATACATACATATATATTTTAAAAAGAACAATTTTCTGGGAGCATAACAGATAAACTACTGTCCAACAGGGTATACAGGATCAGGATAACACGTGTAAGTGGCTCTCAGATTCAGAGGGCAGCAGTGTAACAACCAACAGAAATAATCACAGATGAAGCTGTCTGCACTAAACACGCTGACCCCAATCACATACGAATTACAGCCAAATTAGCATTCACATTTTAATGCCTGCAATCATACAAATGATTTTCTAAATAAAACATGCTAAATAAATTAAATTGCATCAGATTACATTTCAGTGAACGGATATAATTTAATAGAAAGTTCTGTGTTGCCAGTTCTGCTGCAAGCTGATTTATTTCCTTCACTAGTAAAAATACCAGCAGAGTTCAAACAATGCTTTGACAGCCCACTAAATCCTATCAACTCATTTTTTCATAGCTGCTGTGCTAGCAAAGCCTTTTTCTGACCTTTGATTGCACTCTCAGAGGTGTCAGACAGCAGAACTGATCTGTTAGCAGGGCAGGATCTCGGAGCATCTCATTCTCGTACTAACCCATTTCTGACCAGCTGCCTGAGCGTGACACCCCGGTCTTCCCTTGACAGTTTGAATCTATGATTGATACAATGACCACTCACCTTAAAATTAACTATTTAGTCATTAAAGTAGGAATAGCACAATGGAACAAGGGTTTATAGTATTTTGGTCTATAGATGAAGACCTCACATTTAAGACGTGCCTTCTGGATCTGCAGCAGCATATTCCTTGAGAGCAACGCCTGCATCCAGACAGAACAAGAACGTAACTGCTTCCACATCTCTTGCTCTGTGCTTGCTAGAGGCTTGGGAAAACAACGAACTTCAGCTGAAACATTGGCAGCTAATAGCTCAGACTGTCTCCTCTTCTGACCTATTTACTATGAAGGCATTCTCCCATTTTCAGTCTATACATTCACTCTGTTTTAAGAAACAGAATCATTAAACTATGCATATATGCACACAGGCAATTAACTACAGTATACACTGTTATAACCAAACCAGATATGCTTTTCTTCAGTTACATATCAGCTACTTGTCTGTGACACATTAATTTTTTTTTCTTCAGGTAATTAGCACATCCACATGCTACTTTTTCCTTCTATTTACATGCCAAAAGGCTAATCCTGTACGAGGAACAGTGCACGTTAACTCCCATGCTCCGTTTCTGGACCAGAAGCACCCCTCTGCAATCCAGTTAATGGGTGCAAAGAAAACAGTTCCTGCTAATTGGTCTTTTCTCTGACAGTACTTATTAGTAGTATGAACAGTCACAGGACTGCAGAGCCAGGCTGGAGACTGAGTGCATATTGTAGACAAGATGGTGCTGTCTTCAGGAACTATGTGTATGCTAGTATACAGGTAACGATTCCTGGGACAATTCGCGATATGTAAGGGTCCCTGTTCTGTCTTGTCTCCTTAGCTGCACTCAGAAACTCTTTGGGAGAGCGCTAGTTGGCACACAGACCAAAAACACAGCAGGGACCACTCTAGCTTTTTAATGCTATGGGTAATCAAGTTCCAGTCCACAGTGACATTCCTTGGAAGCGTTCAGTTTACTAGCACAGATCAAGACAACAGCTAAGATCATTTTAAGAGAAACTTTAAGATTGTTGGGAGCCATTAAACTAGCAAATGTTACAGACAGCTTACGATTATTGCAAATAGCTCATTAAGCAACCCTGTGGTAAAACATAGCGTATGGACAGTCCCACTACTTAAATTGTTCCACTACAAATTGCGTGGAAGTTCAGATGTTTCAACATCCCTTAGCTGCTATCCACAAAAGGGCTGGAAAAAAAAAATCTGTTACAGCCACATGGGAATTTGATATCCACAGACACCATTCAACATTTCTTACTCATAATCAAGACAGCAAAGGGGTAAAAGTGGCTGCTGCCCTCATCTCATTGGTTTGCTGGAAAGTGGTAAAAAAATGGGCAATTTAGCTCTCCCAGCATGTTCAGACTGGGGGTCAGAAAAACTCTGGCTCAGAGCTGCTCGCAGCAAAGCTTTTTTGGCTCATGTTATATGCCCAGAGTGCACAAGTAACCATTAGTGGGAAATGAAATACCAAATGCTGCCAGCAGTAAAAAAAAAAAAAAAACAAAACAAAAAAAAAAAAAGACGTCCCTCAAAAAAAAAAAAAAAAAAAAAAAAAAAAAAAAAAAAAAAAAAAAAAATCCTTCCAGACCATTCTAGCTAGAAGAGATCTCTTAAAAACCAGCTATTAAAACACCAACTTTTCAAATCCTCAAAATTTCTTCTCCTCTTGGTGATGGGGTAAATCATCAGTTTTCCCTCAGGGTTATTTGTATATAAAGCTTAAGGTTTTCACAGATGGAATGTGTTAGGAATACATTAGCAGTGGATGTGATAGTGATTGCCTATTTTAGTAAAGATCAAATATTTTTATGTTGCTCAGATCCCAACCAACTCTTCCTGATGAAGCAAAGACATTCTGACTTCTGAGTACAAATGTCATGGTTTAAGTTTGTATTAAGCTGGCGTTTGAACTCCTCCCTTACATTGACAAAAAAAAAAAATCCATGAAAGATACATATTTCTTGTGCAACATTCAAAAGCTTTTCTGTTACAGCAACAACCAAAAGCCCATTTGGAAGGCTGGTGGACCCTGCTGTGCTCTCTGCTGCTCAGAATTATACCCTGAATCCACAGTACATCACGTTTGGGATGTGGCTATCCATCCACCACCTTTAAGTGCATAACAGTAACCAAGAATTTGCAAACAGTGCCCAAGAAACTGAAATCTTTGTTGTTCCGGTCAATGAAAGCCTGAAACTGAAATGCCCTTAATTGCAGAAAATTATACTTGATCCAGAATAACGACTTCTTCCTGAATGCAGCTGCCAGGCAGCTCAGACTCTAAAATATGAGGTTTTTCCTTTCCATTTTCCTTCATCCAGGACAAATACAGGGATCAGGCCTCATTTATACTAATAGCATTTACACAATTCTGACAGCACAGTCTTGAGCCAGATGCGAATATTTATTCACGTCTAGTGCCGACACTCTTGCATGTCCAGGAACGACAGAGTGATGTAAAGCTCCATAGCATAAATGAAAATTAAGCCCTTACATTCCTAACATTAAAGAAATACTGAAGCTTTATTAATTTTATTGCAGAACATTATTTATAATAAGGCTAAGTATTCTCACAAAGGTAGATCACATTTTTAAATGAAAAAGGCGTATGACCTTCTTAACGCCTTTCTTCCAGAAAGCAGAGTGCAATGAGCTAGTCTCAATTCAGCTGCAAACCTCTTAACACCTTGGTATTACAAACAGGCTTGTTTTCTTCACAAAGACACATTAAAATTATTTATTTCAAATTTGTAATACAAAAGAGCAAAGACACTACTGGGATTTTTCCTATCCAAGTGAAATAAAAGATATATTTCAAAATCTAATAAAATTATCATAGTTCAGCAAGACTTGCTTGTGATTCCTAAGATCACCTTTTAAAAATACTGGTAAACATCAGTCATCTCTGTCAGATGTTATTTTTAATAATAAATCACATTTTTCTTCCCAGCTGAGCTATTTCAATCTCTTGTCCCTTCATAATTCTAGAAAGCATCATTCAACAGAGGGCAATATTAGATTTCATGCCTGCCTGTGACAATGAATGCATCTAATTTTATGCCTAAAGCAAATTTACCTGTTCACTGAGCTGTATGACTTGAGTTTCCAAATCTTTATCTGATTTGGATGCTGAGCTGCTTGGTGCAGCTTTTTTTGCTGAAGATGGGCGAGAAGGTGTTGATCCTGGTTTAGAAGCTGGACTGGATTTAGCAGCACCTGAAAAGTACAATAAATAATTAATAATCAAGATTTATGCCAATGACAAATACCTTTCTATTAACCTGGTACTGAAACAAAAGTATTCATTTTAGAGGCAGCCATTCTCTCTGTTACTTGAAGGTGACAGTGGAGGAAGTTCCAGTACTGCTATAACCTGGGAAAGGAAAAAATGCATTTCCTAGCAGTTTGAGTTTGCTACTGAGAGTGAAGTAACTCAAACTAAAATGAACATCAAACTAAGATTATAAAGTTCTCTTAGCTGTCAGCAGCTTTCAGCTTTAAAAAATATGCCGTTAAGAGATCATTGCTCCAGCCCAATATTTAGCGTACAGATCTATCTTCAATTCCCCTAGAGAAAGACAAACTTGAAAAAACCATGTTTTCCTCATTTTCCAATGTAAACCATCCCTGAGACAAGGGCATTGAAATTCAGACTGTGCGTGCAGAATTAAATCCATCAGTGAACTCACAGTTGCCATAGTGACCGAGAGATGAGTTTTGATCTGCTTAGGTTTTACTATTTGTTTTTAATTACTCGCACTGCAAATCTGCCAGACTATGGAGCAACATCTTTACCAGCAAAAATGGCCAGCAATGAGTGCGCAAAGGTGCCCTTTTCCACAAGACCCGAGGCACACAAGTGCCCAAGCAGAGGAGCGTTTGTGGGAAAGGGTTTGCAGTGCCTTCACACGAGGCTCCCAGCCAGCTTCTCTCACCTCGCTCTGCTCTGACAGACCATCTTCCCTCTCTCCTTGTCGCCGGCTGTTTCGGTCGCTCACCCCAGCCCACGAGTGCCCGGCTCAGGGCAGCCCGCCTTGCCTGAACTCCCACCAGCCCTGGACCCTGACTCGCAGCCTGTTCCTCATTCCCGCCAACTAGGAATACATTTCAGACGCAGTGAACATACATCTGGTACAAAAATTGCTTGGGTTAAGAAGACAGAAGAGAAACCCAGCCAGCCCTCTCTCCAACTTATTTTATTTGATTTATTAAGCAGGCACACGAATCCGAAGTCTAGCTCTGCAGCACCTGTGTTTATCATTGTTTCTAACAAAGAGCAAAATATAGTTGTCCGGACACGCAGATGGGCTCCATGGCCATCCTCCACCACCAGATGCTCTTGACTCTGAAGCCGGGGACACACAGGGAGCGGGAGAAAGCCCAAATCCAGCCAGCACCCAGCTCCCAGCTGAGCTCTGAGCCAGTTCCGGAGGGATTTGCCCCAGCTTTCTCAGTAGCCACCTTCCACCCCACACCTCCCCAGCTGCTCCTCCTATAAGATTATTTGGTTTATGGCACAGGACAAATTGTTCTAAGTTGTCATTTCCACAACGTATCTCCAGTGTCAGACAACACTTAAAAAAAGCAATTCATTATAAAACCAGTGTTTTACAAAGGCATTGCTAGGAAGAAATCGCAAGGAGACAGGGAAAGGCAGGAGGGGGAGAAAGCCGACTTGTGAGGCTGCCCGTATGACCAGACTGTGGAGCTCACACGGTCTCGCTGACCTAGATCTGGGTATACTGGTCCCCTGGAGGAGCTGAAAAGCAGTGGGAAAGGAGAGCAGCAATGGGTTATTTAATCAAGCTAGCTTAGGCTTTTCTGATTTAGTGACAGGCCCCGCTCTGTAACAAGCATCTCCTCCCACCTCTAAGGATAACTCTGTATTAACTGGGTCACCTCATGCCAACAGAGCGTAAATAAACAACTTTATAATATATTCAGTTGACTTGTATAAACATTTCTGTGCAAGATGTCCACCCTCCTTTTCTATGCTCATAAAAATGAGATGGATTAAAAAATATTTTTTTAGAAATTGGTGACTCCAGTCCAATAACTTCCATGTCTAAATCCTTATGATTACACACACAAACTCACCTCTAGCAGATTTCAGATACAGTGCACAGACTCACTAAGGTCAGGAAAACTGTGTACATGCCTGAAATTGAACTTCTTTTCACATCATACTCAGATCAGCAAAGAATAAATCATTTGTGGGAAAACATTAAAAATGCCAAGACCTTTTGCTGCTGTATCTTTCTTTAGGCAACTTCATAAACTTTACCCCCCTGCCTTCATTACACATTTTCCAGGTTCAGTCCACATTTCCACTAACTAAAAATCAGCTACTTAAGAGTAGGTTTATTAAGGTGCTCTCAAAACCAGGAAACTAATTTTCATTAGGATTAGCGGATAAACAGAAGAAAACTGCTGTCAAAATATGGAAGATAAACACATATGAAATAATCACTTTGCCTATAGCATTCTAGTTGGGCCTGAATACTTGTGTGACACACAACTGGAAAAGTTACCCATACAAAATTGAAAATAATATAAATGTATACTAAATCAGGCATCAATGTTTATTTCTTACTGTATTGTACACCTGCAAGCAATAGTTCGGGATATCAACTGAGAATTAAATGCTATAAAACAAGCTACGGACCTTCAGATGTGAAAACTTGGCTGCTTGATGCATCTCACCCCTCTACCAACTACTCTTTTTCCACCTGAAGGCAGCACTGGACTGTCCCTAGGCAGCAAGGCCCTGCACACAAGCACAGGAGAAGCTGCTCAGCTTTTCCAGGGCAGCGTCCCCTGGGCTGTCGGCTCTTCACCATTTCTCCTGGGGGTCATGGTGCAAGACATAAGCAAGGTGCATTGTGCAGCCAGGGCACATTGCTCCCTTTCACGCTCAATAGCCCTGCGAAGGGAGCTAGTTCTTTGTAGATCTTTTGGCTTACTGATCACAGAAAGCCAAATCATTAAGTACTCACCTCTTTTTAACCTGCAGAGCGAGTTAGGGACAGAGCAGGCACAAACATTTAATCCCCAGGTATTCTCTCTAATTTGCAGCTGAGGCGTCCTCCCAGAGCGTGCTGAGCAAGCCCACATCACCACTGTCTGCGGACAGAGAGGGCTGCATAGCACCAATACACCCCGTTATATTCTGCCCTCCTTTGAAAACAACAAAGCCTTTTGAATTCCTACAGCAAAGCATTACTACGCTTTATAAAGTCCAGACAAATCAAAAGAAACTGACTTTTGCTCCACGGCTCAGGATCAGCTCTTAAATGAGCACGATATTCCGATCTCAGCAACGCAGATAAAAACCAGCTAAATAACCTGAGCCTTTCAAACAGTATCAGCAACAGCTGGATAGAACTTAATTGCAACAGAGAATGTCTGGGGATCTCCAATTTAAAATTTCTGGGAGGAAAAAAAGAAATACTTCACTGCATATTTATTCTGAAACATCAGTTTTAGAATCAGCTCAGAGGTAAGCCTTCCATTTCTAACAGAAGCTTAATTTCATAAAAGAATTAAAGGATGCTGGTTGGTATAGTAGTGCAAAGTACTTGAGACAGCCAGATATTTAAATGGAGATGAAAAATCTTGGTAGACTTAATGACTTCACTATTGAGCACCACAATGGCTTTGCAGTCAATTAGTGCAAGTGTGAAATAACTCCTAATGCATTGCAAAGAGGGGCTATATAATCCAAGCAGTTTAAATTCTGTCCAACATCATATCTTCTATGAAAATGCTCATTTACATATACTGAGAAAGCACAAAAATTTTATACAAACGCAAATATTTTATATACAAAATATATTGGAGACCTTGTTGCAGCCTTCCAGTACTTAAAAGGGGGCTTATAAGAAAGATGCGGACAAACTTTTTAGCAGAGCCTGCTGCAACAGGACAAGGAGTAATGGCTTTAAACTATAAGAGGATAGATTTAGACTGGATGTAAGGAAGAAATTTTTTATCATGAGGGTGGTGAAACACTGGAACAGGTTGCCCAGAGAGGTGGCAGATGCCCCATCCTGGGAAACATTCAAAGTCAAGTTGGACAGGGCTCTGAGCAACCTGATCTAGTTAGCGGTTCCCTGCTCACTGCAGGGGGTTTGGACTAGATGACCTTTAAAGGTTCCTTCCAACCCAAATCATTCTATGATAAAATATCTGATAACCATCTTTTTTCACTGACCAATGAGAGAACTGCATTGTAATCAGTGCCATAAATGTTACTCATTACCAACTCGTTTTCAAGCTTACTGTCAAAGTTCAAAAAGAAGTGCAGAGCCCCGCACCTGGCAAAGGAACAGCTCCATGCCTCAGAACATGCTGGTGGCTGACAGTCTGGAAAGCAGTGTGGCAGAAAAGGACTTCGGGGTCCTGGTGGACAGCAAGTTGGGCATGAGGCAGCAGCGCACCCTCGCAGTAAGGAAGGCCAACAGCCTCCCAGGCTGCACTGGGAAGGGCATTGCCAACAGGTCAACAGAGGTGATCCTCCCCCTCTACTCAGCACTGGTGAGGCACGTCTGGAATGCTGGGTCCAGTTTGGGGCTCCCCGAAGTACAAGAGAGATTTGCATACTGGAAAGAGTCCAACAAAGGGCCACAAAGATGACTGGGGGACTGGCGCGCCTTGCATATGAGGAAAGGCTGAGAGAGCTGGGACGGTTCAGCCCGGACAAGAGAAGCTTCAGGGGAATCTTATCCACACCCAAAGGGAGGGTGCAAAGAAGACTGAGCCAGGTGCTTTTTAGCGGTACCCAGTCAAAGGACAAGAGGCAATGGGCACAAATTCCACTTAAACATAAGAAAAAACTTCTTTGCTGGGAAGGTGATCACATACTGGAAGAAGTTGCCCAGAGAGGTTGCAGCATATCCACCCTTGGAGATACTCAAAACCCAACTGGACATGGTCCTGGGCAACTAGTTGTAGGTGATCCCGCTTGGAGCAGAGGGGTTGGACTGGATGATCTCAGAGGTGCCTTCCCACCTCCACCATTCTGTAAGAATGTCTGTTACAGCATGCTCTGATTTTAGGTCAATGCAGGGTACAAGTGGAATTTTTTTTAAACAATATTGCAGCTGCTTCAGTTAGCATCTGGATAATTTTTTTGTAACTGTCCACATAACGCTAGCAGAGATGGGAAAAATAACTTCGCAGTTGAAAGGCAAATTATTTTGTTCTTGTACTGAAAT